ATCTTAACCTATATAATGTGTCAGATTTGATATTTATTGATAACTGGGTACAAAACAATCCTATGACCGTTGCGCTCCGGGTTCACTGGCAAGGCCTGCCAAAACGTCCATTATAACAACAGGGTCGAGTGTGACTGACAAGCACGCGAGATAATGTGCTCCCTGCCGAAACAATGCGACGGTGCCTGATTTAATCAACGATGCTATACAGGGATCCAGAGTAAGCACTCAGCCAACTCACTCAAGAAACGTGACGTTAATTTGAAGCTTACGCCCGAATAATAAATTATGGATATGAGTGTTAATAAAATGAATAGATGTACAATGCGGCCCGAATTCGTAATTAATTTCTGACGTGTCCGATGATATCACGATTTAGTTCTTAAAACAAATTTTCCGATTTGACTAAGTAATCATAAGTTACATGAGTTACTTTTATTTTCTTTAATGGATTTCTATTGAATGGTGCTCCCTCCTATGCGATATATAAGGGCGAAACGTGAAAGATGATAGAATGGGGATGAAATCAGTCCAGTTAACCCATCGTGGTGAATTCGAGAGGAATTAAGCACAAGTCTCTAGGGAATTCTAGATCTCTAGTGGAAGCCGATATGACAGAAGTACCTTCCCTGTTACTTTTTATTATAATTCCAGTTGAACTTTGCAAGCGCGACTTTGTGACGGATACAATACAAATTGAAATACAATTTCCGTTTTTCGATACATTTTTCATTAACCTCTTTATAATATTAGGCTAGATTAATGCTAATCAAGATTATTAGTATCATCGATCACAAGCTGACGTATAAACAAAGTTCGACTTTTCGAATGGGTTAAAAGAAATATGGTTAAAAGAAATATGAATGGAAGAAATATAGAAGTTGCTTATGTTTGAATTTACTTAATTTAATTACTATGTTTCAGTTGTATTACTAGTACCACGGAACATACTACACTAACTATACGTTACAGTGTTTGAATAATGTTTCTTATTAGATTACTAGCTGTACACGCGCCTTAGTCCGCGTAGAATTTAACTTTATTTTTCTAAAATAAAAGTAGCCTAAGTTACTCCTTATTACATCAGCTATCTGCCAATAAAAACCCCGTCAAAACAAGTCCGGTACAGCCATTTCAGAGATTAGCCGGAACAAACAGACAGACAAAAATGGTAAAAAACGTTATTTTGGTGAATGTACAGTAATATTTATATGCATGAAATAAAAAACTGTTATTTCAATATTACAAACAAACACTCTAATTTTATTTATATGTATAGATAATACGGAAAATATATACCTACAGTAACTACAGGTTGCATTGTTTGAAATCGTGTAGGATGTTTCTTATTAGAAGCAGGTACAGGATGTAAATATTTTGTCTACGCTTACTAAGAATTATTGCTCAAAAATTGTTATATAATGAAATTTTGAAATTATAAATTGTGCTTGGTTGTTTTATTACATAATGGATGGCGATAATATTCGTGGATATAAATTTACTAACGATGTTATAGTGGGCTTAAAAGAAAATAAACCAATTTACATAAGAAATACCTACTATTTAAAGCTAGTTGAAAATTTAGTTTGTATACAGACTACATTAAAAAACTACGTCAGCGCGAATCCTGATATTATTTTGTAGCCGATATTAAGTCTATTTTATGCGTATAAAAATAACACCTTTTAAAGTTAATTTTATTTCTCAAAAGTTAGTAGGTGCTAGACTAGGTATATAAACGCTGTTACCTAAATACCTTAATAACAGTGTTTATATACCTAGTACCAACAGTTCCTTCACAGTTTTATGTTCCAAGAAAATCAGTAAACAGATTAAAATTATACCTATGTATAATATAATATATATACATAAAAAATATAATTATTGTCATCACGATAGAAAATGAACGAATGTCACCCGGGATTGCAATGTAGTACATGATAGAGCAGTTTAGCACGAGCATTATAGAAATACGAGAATCATATTACAAGAATACGTCAATTAGCTGAAGATTACAAAAATATTTCATAAAAATGTACTGTTAGCTCTGTAAAAATAGATTCTACCGCAAAGAGATTAAGACTTAAAATTAAATTAAAACGAATTAAAGAACTCAGTTTCCTACCAAAAATTCATTTTCTTACAAAATCTTTGAACTCCAAATTAGGTTAACATTGAAGACAGTAATTTGCAAATAAGACTGTTACTATAAAACAGCAAGGTAGAAATTCAAAAAGCGCTCCAGTTTGTGGTCTGACGTCATAAGCGTGCTATAAAGTAAAATGTTTAGGGCGTCGTTGTGTGAGGAGTTAGCAATTGAGATATTACGTTGTTTGGCGGGCGCGGGACGCGACGTAACGAGCGCGCAACTTGATGCAAGTAACAATAATTATGAGAACCAACACTATGGGTGACGCTCCCCTTACTAAATTACCTTATTTAATTACATTATTACGTAAGGAAGGCATATAAGGAAGCTTTATAGTTACTGGTGGCGGGTGAAGGGAAATAAAGGCGAGAGGAATAAGTGCTACGAAATGGCGCCATAAATATCTCATTACTTACGTGAAATCGTTTCAATATAATAATTTAAGTAAAGTAATAATAATATAGAATTTAATATACAGTTCAATTTAAATAATTGCTTTTGTTAATGATTTTCTGATGTTTGGTCTTAACATTAATAACTTGGTAACATAATGTTTATAAGTAGGTATTAGATGTTCATATTTAAATTTATTTCCAGAACTAAATACTATAAATATAGCTAAATAAAAATTCATTAAAATATTCCAATGAATACTGTTGAATATTTTAAGTATGTTAATAAATCATTTTGTTAATAATATAAAATTGGAAAGAAAAAATAAGAAAAGATACTTAAATGAGCATTTTCTTGATCTAACTCTGTCTTAACTGAATGCATGATATGTCATATAAGGATGTTACATACGATGAATTCTGTTCTTGTTCTTAATAAATTGGGAGATTAGCAATCTCCCATTTAGTCCATAAATATTAATAAATATAAATTATAGTCTACAATAATTAGGGAAATAGTAGTCCAGTAGCCATATTGCAAGCAAATATTTCAAGCAAAATATGGACAAATTAAGTGTTGAGTTTGCCACTACATCAACAGTTGATAAGACCCCAGAATACCCTATCTGGGATAATAGTAGTGAAGGTATTTTTTATATATTTTTTGCCTTTTCAATATTAGCATTCCTTTATAATATGCTACATATCATGAACCCCCTTTTAATGTTACAATAACATTAATGTGACACTAATAAAAAATCTTCGAAAAACAAATATGATGTAAAATTCAACCAGTACAAAAGTATATTTATTAATTCTATGGGCTAGAACAGAGGAATGCAGATTACAAAGACTGACAGGCCATGACTTGGTTGTCAAATGTACCAATGAAGTATGTTAATTATATTTTCAATTTTTATTATTTACTTTTGGAATACTTTTCACCATTAGAAAAATATAATATAACAGTTAAATAAAACCTACAATTCAGTCCGCCAGCGCCAAGCTACAAACTTAAAAATTTAAATTAATATAAACTTTCAGAATAATTGGACCTTTTAAAAAAATATTATAAATTGACAGCTATTTTTTATATTATATTTATATAGTCTCAAAGCTGGCCCTAAGCAGAAACATAAAACAAATTAAAAGAATATAATGAATGGCAAAAACGGAAATGCATTGTTCATGTTTTCTTATTTATTTCAAGTTACAGAGTCTAAAACATAGCATTTGAAGAAATGTACAAATTGAATTGCTATACATGACGTAGTTGCTACATATTCATTTCTAAAAAAAATAGATAGTTTACATATAAATCTGTTTTTAAAATACTAAGAGGAGGAAATTAATTCCAAGTGAAGTACTTATAATTTTATCAAATCGCGTTTTATTTAATTTTATAAACCATACACATCAAGAGGTTTAAAAGAAGTACATATTAAATTAAATTAAAGTATTAAATTTTATTTTTTTAATAGATAATATCGTTTTTAAATCAAAATGAATTCGAATTGTGTTGACTTTAAAGAATAATTAAGTATTCATTAAAATAATTATAAATAAATAAGGTTCAGTACTGGTCACAGTAGTTGTAAACAATTTCCACTTCAACAAAAACAACTAAACATAAGTGTCTACGTAAATGCAATGCATAACTTAAAACAAAGCAAAGTTATCTAATAGGTAAAATAAATAAAGATATACTAAAATGTGTATGTAAAGCCATAAATTTAAGGTCATTTTATAATAAGATTTTGTTCATACCAAGACACTCGATGACAGATGGGCCGAAAAGGTTACAAAGCACAAACGCACGCAATCCATCCAATGTTATTGATATGAATAACTCAATTAGTACACATTTAAAGTGTCCAACTACATTTAGAAACTTTATCACTACACCACAATTTAAAGTTCAACAATTTCAAATGCAGTAAATATTATTCAAATAAGTAATATTTCCACTATTCAACCACAACACCACACAATAAAAAAATATAGATAGTAGAAATGACATCACTGACAGCGCTTATTTTGACAGTGACAACTAAAATTAATAGACCATAACATCAGAAAATGCAAAAAAAGGTAGTTACCTAACCTAAGTTCAATCTTTACTTAGTTCTTTTTTGTAGTAGTATAAATTGAGAAAAGTATCCTCAGATGTGATCTCACTGTAAGGAATTACGATCCTTTCACACAGTAAATTGAATAAATAAAGCGAGATGCTTTTTTTACTTCTTGTTATTGAGAATGAAATATATTTTTTTATTTATTCTCTTGCAGGATTTAATAGTTATATCATATAATTGTTTGTGGTTTAAAATCATACTAAAATTTAAAATTATTCTATATACCTACAACACTGCGACGCAGCATTCTTATATAGTTTATGTACATCACTTAGTGTCATTTTGACAACCATAGCACAGATTTTACGTTAGTGTTTTTATTTTTGTGGTTTATCTGTGGGTTTGATATTAACTTACAGATTTTATTTCAATTTGTCTTTTCATATATATCTAATTTTTACTGTCTTTCGTGATATAGCTATGAATATTGTGTTTCGAAATAATTTATTTAAATATGTTGCCACAACATGTTTTCGTTCCCAGCTTACAGCTACAAAATTAAATGTATCGTTCAATAGAACTTTACATACCAGCAATGTATCACACGATCTAATGGAATTTTTCGATGACAAAAAAAATTGGAATGAAACCAATATAAAAGTAGGAAGAGCATGGAAACTGGATGAATTACGTATAAAGTCAAATACAGACTTGCATAAACTATGGTATGTGCTGTTAAAGGAGCGAAATATGCTTTACACCATGGAACATGAATGCAAAGAAAAAGTAAGGTTATTTCCAAATCCAGAAAGGATTGATAAAGTTCAAGAATCGATGAAGAACATTGAAACTGTTGTAAGAGAACGTAATATTGCATACTATACACTAGAAACAGGAGAAACTGGAGAACGACCAGTAGAACAGGTAGTAAATAGATTTGGTTTGAAAGAAAATTATGAGAAATCAGAATATATAATACCAAAGTTTATGAATAAGAAATGGGTGAGACCATATTTGGAACATGGTTTAATAAACAGTTTAGCAGTAAAGAAATTTTACAGACTATATAAAGAGAAGTTGCATAATGAAACTAGGAAGGCCCGAAACAGAGACTACAATCATGTTCAACAACTCCTTAAGAGGTTCCCTGATATGGATTTAGAGAAATTAAAAGCTGAATATCCTAATGTAGATATAGAAAAAGCTATGCGGACAAAAAAGGCTCGGGGCCATTATTTTCCAAAATATTAATAAATTTGAGTAGTAATTAATGAAATTAGTCAATGTTTCATTTTAAACTCCCTACACTTAAAAATAAATACTCAACACATACAAGAATAAGATGTCTGTCAAAGTAGAAAAGTAATAATTAAGTAATTGTTATAATTGTATCCAATGCAAACCTGACACATTTCACTAATTTTAAAGTACATAAAAAATACAAATAACTACTCAGTCATTCATCACTTAGTGAAGATTACCCATACTCAGTGATAGTTATTTTATAAAATCTATACCACTAATTTTATAATGTGTGTGTATGAGAGAGATAAAGAAGCCCAAGCCAATGGTGTGGTGGCAAGTATCAGGTTGATAGAGTAACCATTCTCTAAGCCTATATATTTAACATATTTGTATGACTATCACTTGTTTTGCCATTTTTACCAATTAGAAACTATGAACTAGTGTTCCCGCCAGCATGTACAGCACACATTATTCAATCATAAAAAATATTAGTTATGATCTCTTAGTATGTGTTGGCTTTTTTGATAGCAAATAAATACCCTTTTTAGTAGTCTTGTCAGATATTTTAATAAGATGATAAAATGTTATTTTAAATTACCAGTGTAATAATAAAAATATATAAAAACAATATACATAGGTATTATTATCCCTCTTTAATACTAACAAAATCTGTCTTCTGAATATTACATATTTGAAGACTAGAAAAGAATAAATAACAAATTTCTTTCATGACTAGTTGAACTATATTATATTTTCTTATCTGCTATTATACACATTTTTATAAAATGTGAAAGTTTGTAAACATCATCCATGTTTACCTACTTTCACATATTTTTGACACTCTTTCATGTGAAAACTACTGAACAGATTTTGTTTTTGTTTTTTTTGTTGTGAAACAGCAGGCACAGCTGTTAATACAAAATTAAGCAAGAATATGACATAAAATTGAATGCATAAGAGACCGGATTAACCATCTCGGAAAACTAGGCCATTACAATACCCAGGTCCCTCCCTGTTGAAGTGTTGAAGAGTGTTGTTAATGCTATTTTATATCTCCTTGTTGAAGTTGAAAAAAATATTGAATACCTATTGCCTTGAGGAAACAAATTTTGTAATTTAATCCTGCCTGTAAGTATAGCTAGTCTTTAGAAGTATTAGAGAATAGAGATCTTTTACTTTTTATAATACCATAGAATAACTAGTTATTATATATATTATACTGACTACCACTTTTATTACATATTTTCATTACCATTACTAATAAGGCCACACATATGGCAATATTATTATGATTCCATATCTTATAATATATTTATTCTAGTGTCTCCATTTATCATTACAAAAATGTTATTATGTCTGATTCTATGTATATATTAAATTGCAGTTTTTATATCATAATATACTGAAACTTGAGGGATTTCGAATTTCTAATCAAGTTGCAGTCAAAAGATCAACAGTCAGATAGTTTTATATTCTTTTGATAAAATATCCTATGGCAAATGAAAGTATAATATGAAAACAAAAAAAACACAGCAAAACATATTGTGTTTGCGGCAATTTGCACATGTATGACATGATTATAAGAAAAATCACTTATAACGGAATATTCACAACGTAATGTTTTATTGCATAAATTATTTTAAAACATTATATTAACTAGCGTTTAAATTGTCAATTTGGCTCTATTACTTATTTCAAATTAAAATATTTTAAAGTTTTATTGAAACTCTAAAAATTAATACATATCACAGTGTCTTACAAGTTATTTTAAATGATATTATATTTTGTTCTTTGGATTTTTGGCTCTTGCTAATAACTATTATAATAATAATGAAGTAACAAATTATTAAATTGTAGTAAATTAATACCTATACAAGTAAATTTATTATTATAAAGCTGCAATTCAATTTACTTATAATACATTTAAACACATTTGTATAGGTATTAATTTTCAATTTTATTTTAAAATTAAACTTATATAATTAACACCTTTGCAATGCATTTTATCAAGGTACCAGTTCAATTAATTTAAAGTAAGTCAATTTCAATTATGACAATAATTTACTACATTGTATGTTTCTTCTTATTTATGTAATAACAATATAATAAGGCACAAACTACATTGATACTCTTTGTCATTAGCAAGTACGTAACTTTTACAAGAAGAAAAATAATCATTAACATGAACAAAAGGTAGATATTTTTTGAAGTAATATACTAGTTTAGTACATCTATTTTTCATTCATTCTAAATTTAAGAGCCACACTCTTGTCGGTGGAGCTCATGCCACCTTCCACGATCTTACGTCATGCTCTTTAAATATTGAAACGCCACAACTACAATTATATCTTTAATTTGCTTGACCTTCCCCTCCCTCTCTTTCCTTCTATTTTTCCCTCAATAGTAATTTTCATAAAAATTATCCTGTCGTATCAAATATCCTAACATTTTCTCTCATCTATGTATTTTCTATAGTATTCAATATCTGCCTTATTCTTTCACCCTATGCACTACTGTTTTAAATTAGATTAAATAAAAAAAAATAGGTTTAAAAGTTTATAAGAACATACTTTATAAGTAGTTTACTAACACAATATGGATGTAATCCAAATTAAATAAATAAAAGGTTATAAACTTAATAATCCTATTTTCTCAAATACTTTTAGAACCTCAGGCAGTTCTTTGGTGGTCTTTGTATTATGTAATATTAATATAAATTCCTGTAGTTTCTGAAATATGGATCTATATTTTTTTATAAAATGTTCAGTGACACTAAACGAGCTGAAGTTTGTAACCTGTGCATTAGTATCAGTGTTATTAAGTATTTGTTTATTCAAACTATCTAAAGTTTCTTGAACAAGTTCCACATTAAATGCATCAAAATATGCCTCTAGTGATAAGTACATAGTGTGAACAACATAACTGACATTAATTTCATAATTCCTACTGATAGAACCTAGATCAAATTTAGGATATAGTTCACTGTTTTTTTTGTGGTGTTTTGATGATGTTTTCCAATTTCTACACATTTTTGAAAGACAATTCAAAATGTTTTTACTACTTTTAGGTCTGTTGTTGTGTCTTTTTGATAAATTTATTGTAGTTCCACTTAGGGGAAACTGTTTCCATTGTGACTTTGTAACAAAGTTTGTTAAATTAACAATAATGTCATCAAATTGCGAGGATAATAATTTTTGTACATGCAAATTACCCACAAGATATTGCATGTAATTTGGTTGTATCCTTTCTAATATTCTAATAATCGATTCCGGTGGCATTACTGGAAATATAAAAAAAAACAGTTAAAATATGTAATAAATGCTCATGTATGCAAGTGTTTGTGCTGTGCGAAGAATCGAATTGCGATCTTCATAAGCAACGCGTTGTGCTAAACCACTAGACCACTGAGGCCATCAAAACACGTAATGTGATGTTTTGTTATTCAATGGGTAAGGTTGCGAGTGCATTGTTGTAATAGAAAACGTATAATGCCTATCCTCAGGAATGGCAATGCATGACATATCTATCACATTGTTATTTTATTTTATTTATACTTTTCATCATTTCATATCATTTTACTTACACTTAAATATAATAAGTCTTAAAAATAAACCAAGTTCAAGTTCTGAGTGAAGTATTTCATTTTTATAAAATATATACAAGAAAATATTTGATGTTTTTATGCTCATGTACATACCTGAGATGATTTTATAAAACTCATTTGCAAAATTGTTGCAATATTTTCCAGTGTTTGGGTAGTCACTGTTCGAGTTCTTCTCACATAAATAAAATGTTTGAATAACTGTATTAAGCCAAGACTGAAACAGATAGTAGTATATTATTATATTATGTGTATTATACAATATTAAAAAAACTTAAATCTTATAATTACCTATCTGCATTAATCATAATAATAATTTATTATATTATTTTTAGTTGCTCTGATATATTTATGATTTGGTATATCGCACATTTTTTAGTAATACTTTATTGTACAGTAATAAAACAGAATATACAAGGATATAAAGATCTTAAGAAATAAATTGTACCAAACAACTTACCGTCATAATTCTTAAAGAATCTCTAGGATATTCCAGATGGACCATGTACACAAATAGTCTCAAAATTTGTTTGCAGTTATTACTCACTGTACCAGTACAAAGAATATTGTTTCCCCACAAAATATAGGCCATCAAAGGTTTGTGAGAACGCATAATGTGTGACCCTAAATTATTAGTATACCTGAAATATACGATCATATGTTTAGTCTTTTCTTAAAGTTACTCAATCTAGTATGGGATTGGGTATAAAATAGCAGATGTGGGTAATATATTCATAAATCAATTTACAGAAAATTTGATGAATAAAGGGTATTGGCATATGGGCATGTGACACCTGTACTGCTGTTCATGTCTATTAAATATTTACAACACAATGGGTGGTCGATTCTAGGAATATTCTTTATAGCAATACTATTTCACAAATTATAAAATATGTGCAAGCAGAAAACAACATCATATAAATAAACAGATTTGTGAAAATTATGTCATCATGTAACACACATTATATCACTATGTGTCACAAATCCAGAAGATTGATACTGTAATTTCACTGTCTTCAACCAAAACCTTCAATTAAAACAGCTTACAAAGAAACCTGTTTGTAGATGAAATAGGTAAAAGTGAAGTAGCCATACAGGCAACTGTTTACAATCCCCAATTCTCCTAAAGTAAAAAATACCAAAATATGCATACAGTACCTTGAATGCCAAATAGCCAAATCATATTGCAAGAGTTCTATGATACATTCTAGAACAGACATAACCCTTTCAATTCTCTCATTTCTGTCTAATAGTTCATAAATTTCGAATTTCTCTTTAATCCAATGTAAACCTTTAACACTTTGCCTCATTTCTTCTGGAATGTTCTCATCTTTGTTTATAAGAGGTTCATCTTTACTTTCTATACTTATTTCATACTCTAGCCTGTTCATACAATACTTTACAATGCCTTTATCACATTCAAATTGTGATCTGTTAGTAAATGTATTTTCTTTTGGCTGTATAGGAGACATTAAAAAATCATTATAACATTTTCTAAGATTTTTAACCATGCATGGTGGATGTATGCTGAAATTTTGTGATAGAATTGCTTGACATTTATTTATTAAATATTCTATAGTGTAGCCAGCATAGCTGTCATCATGTGCATTCTGTAATGATACAAGAAATAAAGTTAACAATAGGATTAAGAAACAGTCCAACATTCTGATATTTAGGAATTATTAAATACAGTGATTATAAATAAGAAAAGAAAATAAATAATTCTACATGCTAGAAAATTACTATCTGTATATTTATTTTATATTGGTAGACTAAATAAAACTTCTTACCTTTAGGATTAACTAAATACCAATACCAAGGTTTACAACTCAATTATCATTGATATTTTTACAAAGGTTGCATTCCTTCGAAAAAATATGCACTAATTTTTATCATTCTTTTTGTAACATGGTTTAATTTTGTGTGATGAAAATATAGAAGAATAAAATTGCAATGCCAATATTTGGTATTTAAGAATAATAAAGTAATACTTACTAGCATTATTTCTACTATATCTTTAAGAACATTAGGTGACAAATATTGCTCTGGAGTAATACACAGCTGACATACTTCTAAAGCTTCATACCACATGTTTGTTTTCATTTCAATTTTAAATGATTCTTCAACATATGATGGAATTTCCCTTATGTTGCCCTGAAGCAAGTTTTTTTAAAATTAATATCAAATACATGGCAGTTACAGAGGAGTTTTTATTATTATTTATACTTTCAAAATTATAATGAGTATTTACTATATACAGCTGAGGTATGAAGTAAATTTATGTGGAGGAAGTTCCCATACACTAATTGTATATAAAAAAAAATATTACATAGGTGAAATGCAATATAAATATTAAGTTTAAGAAAAACTTATTTAAAATATTTTTTTTCTGCTATGTGTACATATATATATGTATAATGTGTATTGCAACCTGTGTCAAAATTTTCCATGGTTGTACCTTGTTTCTATATTCAAGCAAATTTAAAGAGATTTGGTTGAAATTACGTTTATTTCACCAAATTTTAAAATACTTACTCCATGTTTGAATTCTTGGTGTAAACAATTGCCTTTAGCACATGCAGGCAAATAGAATAATCGAAACCGTGCACAAAGATCAAAATATGCATCATAGGACACTTTCTCGCATGCTGCGACAAAGTTCTTTCTCTTTTTGGCTTGTATATCTTCTATTGTTTTTTTCTCAGTCTTTAACCTTTTATTTGACTGCTCTACTTCTTCACTAACTCGTTTACTTGTACTTGCAGTTGGTGTTGATTGAGAACTTAGTTTAATTTTTTTTTTCTGTGGGCTCATTGTTATTTTTTTAAATAAGTATTCATATTCATCAAGGTTTCTGGAAGTTATAAAATACTTGAATAAATATCTCAGAGTACTACTATATTATTATTAATGTGTATATTCATCAATTGATTGTTCCTTCTGTAAAGTTGCTGGTTTGCAATGTCTATATTGACTTATTATAAAATAACTAAATCTTGTATTTACATTTTTAATAGGTTATATTTTAATTTATTGAAAAAATATATTTTTATAAAGTTTTGCTATTCTAATTTATCTAATATTGGTAAATGTTCTCCCAACAAAAATGGAGATAAAAATAGGGCACACAATAAAAGGTAAAGTAAATATTCAATTAAATTACTACTATAATCTTTACTATTTCTTGTTAAGTAATTCAATGTTTATAAAGTGTTATATCAAAATTTTCTTAAAGTTATTGTAAATAAGAAATATCTACAAACCAATATGTACCTCTTTGTTGTTGTTTTTATTGAATTACTAAGTTTATAATAAAAAATACAGCACAAAATTTACCTGGAAGCGAAGGATAATGTGTCATAAAAAGTAATTACGTAGATCTCAAAGGTACTAATGTAATCAGTAGATATCTGTAACTATTACACCAAGTTTTCTTATACTGTTAATGAAGTAAAATTCTCAAAATAATAGAATATATGAGCTTAAAAGTTATAAACAACAGTAGTTTTTATATATTAGTTACAGTATTATAAATTAGAAAAATTGCAAAACAAAATTTGATAACTTTTAATGTAATCATGACATTATTTAAAGACGCGAAACACAAATTATTTGTATGACGTATGTCAAATTAATGTCAATAGACAGAGAATGCAGAACTGGAAAAGCTCTATAATCGTACATGTCATAAGGTTACAAAAAGCTTTATTTTTCAAAGATTTTCTATGCTTTTTACAGCACTGCAACAGTGCTGTAAAAAGTAAGATCATATACCTTTATGATTTATTAATCGACACTAATAGACCAGAAAAGAACGTTTTTAATAAAACAGAATGATAATTTTCATTAATAGTTTTTTTATTATACTTGAAATATTCTATTAATCACACACTCGAGTCTTTTTATTATTTTACAATCATTTTTCAATATTTGAATATATATTTATATTGCAAATTTAATTTTATTTAAGTTTTTGACGCGTATTAAAACAAATCGTTTTATAAATGTTATAAAATTATAAATAATATTATAAAAATAAAGTTTTTACATTAGCAGTAGAAATAAATTAGTATGTAGTTATATAGTATAGATGTAGTTATGTCCTCCTAGTCTTTTTAAAATTGTAAAAAAGTAATTTGATTTACGATAAGCCTATTTTTAGCTGTTATCTTTAAGTGTTATTGCAGCACAGATAAGACAATATTATGAAGCAGCAGTATCAGTGCCTAAAAACTGGGATTAAAACATTTATTTACTCTCTTTAGTTCACCTCTTCGCTTATATAACTAATAAACCCTTATTAGAATTTTACATATGAAATATTGTTGGAAATGTACTACCTATCACCCGCTGGTATGGAGGTACCTATCTGTAGGAAGCCATTGCTATCAAACACATCCTCCCAATCATACGAAACGAAAAGTTTATATTTAGTATTTCAAAATCTATTTCTGTTATAGATACTTTGTAATATTCCTAGTTTTCAACTTGATAGGAAAAATTGCCAAATTCGATGGGCTAGTTGACTAGACTTCTTGTTCTAACTACTTATATTCTAAACATAGTTATAAGCAGTTCCATTTTATAGCCTTGTTTAGTTACGATATTAAGGAAATTGTAATTATTTTAATGTTCAGGGTTTATTATTTGTACATATAGATATCATGCATCGATAAATATAAATATGTAGGTACTTACATAGACTTCATTTGTAACTAATTGCGAGTTCGAACAGCAGTCCACAGATTTTTATTTTATACTGTTCCCCGCGGAGCTGCATTACTTTGTGAATTTGGAAAAAGTAACTTCTATCTAGAATTTTATCTATCTATTTAATAAATACCTAGCTAAATTTGATTAAAATGCGTTCTATACTTTTCGTGTGAAAATGCAACCGACATCTATTTATAATTCGAAACTTTTACTTTATATTTATTAATTAATAATTTATTAATTCATTTATAGAATTTAGTAAGTATTAGAAAATAATAATTTAGAATATTATTCACGAGTGTATTATAGTAATTTACATCCTGGAAACAGCAGAACATATTTGTAAAAAAATAACATTTTAAAACCTTTATGTACACCTGTCTAAGTTAATAATTAAATTATATTGAATAGTCGGATTAATAAGTTTAGGATTTTGCACTTAGAGTAGATAGTTCTGTTCAAGTAAACAGCTAAACAATGTTCGAAAGTTAGAAGTCTATATATATACGCAACGTAATATTGTAATGGCTACGTAGCTGCCGAATATTGTGAATTATTGATTCATAGTTTGCTGCAACAGAAGTAACCAAGTTCACTATTGCACCTATTCTTTCATAGTTCTCCGGCGGTATAAAACCACAACATTTGTTTCACTGACATCAGTGCCGCGGGGGTCCTTGCTGTAAATCACGCTGACGCAAAATGGCTTTCTTGTATAAGGTAAATGTTATAATGACTACATTGTAAAGTAGCTATATAGTTTATTAGAGATAAATGTCCACGTGACACATTTTATTTAAATGTTTCGGCTTTATGTTGCCATAATAAAGGAATAGCGGAAATTGACGGCTCCGATGGTATATCTAGTAGTTTAGCGCACCGCTTTACTTCCGATTTTTGCGGGTTTGATTCCTCGCGCGCTATAAACATTTGTATATTTGTTTGTATCGGTCTGGGTATTATGTGTATGTTTATGTTTATGTGTTGTATTGCTATGTATGTTATGTGTGTATGAACAGAAAAAAAATATCCAAGTATTTATATCGATTATCTAGTAGCCATAATATACAAGCTCTGCTTAGTTTGGGAATAGATGACGCTGTTTGAATTGTCCAGGGATATTATTGTTTTTATTATAATTGGAATTCATTAACGCATTAAAAAACTTGCATTTTAAAACGTTTCTAGAAATAGTAACTGAATTCAGTAACTAAAAGCATGGACTTATATTGGAATAAGGTACAAATTATTTAACAAAAATTTTGGACTTCTAAATTCTGTACTTCAAAACTATAATTAAAATCGAAATGGTTTTGTAGCTTTTTATTTTGGTGATTATTTTATTTAATCGAAAGTGTTAAGTACCTAATCATTCACTCTATATAGATATTACATTATACAAGTATTTTTTTTAAACCCACTACTAAATTTGAGTATAATTGTTAATTTTTGACAGTACTACTTACGTTTGAATATTTTATTAGGGATTATACTTAAGTATTGTTTTAAACAAAAGCTTGAATCTTATAGTCGGGTAAAATAGATATCACCTACGATCGAAGAGTAAGCAATAGTAGATATACTACTGACGTCATGTTTCAAGCATGGCCTACATGACTATATGAAGAAACTCGAAGTAGCTCAGCTACGCCAGAAGTTTATCAGCTTGATAAAATTTAAAATTATAAATTTAAGTGTTAGTTTTAGTAGTCGGTCTATTAAATGTATTGATGGTGACGGTGATTCTAATATTCGAGAACGCTCAGGCAATTAGGATTTTTGAGTAGCCATCCTTTAAAGGATAAAGTAGGGACTCTTCACTGCATTGGATGATGACCTAAAAATAATTATTTATTTAGACTCTTATCTATATGTTAAATATTTAGTAAAATAATAATGATGATAATTATTAATAAAATTGAAACGTGACATTATCTTATTTTCGAATATACTATTTATAATGCTAAACAATAATATAATTAACTACAAATAAATGTAGCAATAACATAATGAATTTAACAAAAACAAAAAATAATTACACTAATCAAATTAGTCATTCCTAATTAGGCACCGCTATGAAACTCCAAACTTTCTTCTTCTGCTTTTCATTGCCACTGTTGTGTAACATTTTAATATCTGACCGTGAAGGCCGTTGCAATGTTACACCGGCGCCTGCGCTGCAGCGCACCAATGAGATCATGATCTTCTGTAATGGTTTTAATATTATAGTCCAATATAGATGCATAATATAGAGCTTTCCGAATCCTATAGTCTGTTAAGAACAAATAAATTCTCTTTGTCATTTAATTAACAGTAATTTGTTAGTAAAACTATTCACAGTTATGGGTATACATTGTTTGTTATTTTGCAAGAGTAGAAAATAGTCTAATTCTATTTTAATTTAGCAATTACATTTATTTAAATTACTAACAATCTTTTTATTAGAGTAAGTGAATATGTTTTTTTATTATATTTGTCACTGGAAAGACTGACGTGATGCAAGGTGGTGAATAAAAGGGTGTTAGTGAACATGTACAGCATTACAATAATCACAAAAATTGTAATTATAACGAAGTTTTAAATTTTAAATAAACAAGTTAATTGTTGTTTTCAGATACTAACTCCTTTGGTTCTGGCCACAGTGGTATTATCCGGCAGACCAGGCGGATATTCATACAACCGCTTCAGTGGACCAGTTAGTGGCCAGATAGTGGAAGTCCAAGTTCCTGCAGCAGAAGGCATACCTGCTCAGCAACATGCTGATTATGGGTACGACCATAACACTGGCAGAATACATCCGGATACAGCCAAATACGCCCATTTAAAAACTGTAGACTATGTGGTATGTTATGAAATTGCATGGTGTCAGACATATTTATATATGTATTCATTCATATAAAACTTTAAATCATTTTATTGTACAGCTATTAAATTTATTTAACTTTTATAATATGTAATGGATTTTTGTCTTTATGAATGACAGGATTTAAGTAATATTATACACGAGTAGTTGCGGTTTTAATTGCAGCCAATTGACCAAGACAAATAAAATTTTATTTTTGTATCAAACTAGCAGAAATCAATACTACATCCGAAAGCGCGGTCTTATACTACTAAGCTATTAAGAGTAACCGTTTTTTTAAGTTTAGTTTAGTTTAGTTTTAAAACCGACATAACGAAGTAATCCCTATGTTTATTGTGGTATTTATTTCTGTTGACAGGCTAAACCCGACTATCAATACGCTTATGGCGTAGAAGATCCCCTCACAGGCAATTTGCAAAACCATAAGGAGCATCGTGATGGTGATGTGGTTCGTGGAGAATATTCTCTTGTTGAACCAGACGGTTCCATCCGCTTGGTGCGATATACTGCAGATCCTAAAAACGGATTTCAGGTACATGTAGATTTATATATTCAAATAGCCGTTGAGTATCATGATATTCCATCATCATACTTAAATACTATTTTATATCAATAGTGTACTTTCGCTTGTTCTTATGGTATATGTCGGCGAGACGTCAGAGAAAGATGAAGTAATAAGAAAATTGATTTTTTAATGGTGGTACAGGTGCACCCTTCTTCGCTAACGGTATATAACCAGCGGGGTATCGGTTGAGGAAGATATGATGAGCATAAAGTCCGGTCAATTAGCCCTTAGCCCATGACGAATTCATCAGGAATTAACTGTAGACGGACGGTAACGGACCGCGTAGAGACCTTACAGGGTACATTAGTTGCAATGGGAATACTATAATTAACATGATGTTTACTCGCTTAATCACTTACGTAAAATTTTGTTTTAAGTTTTTACTGATTAAGTCTTCATTTAGGTATTCTTATTTTTATTTAATACTTAAGCGTTAGAAGCGTTGTCAACTCACGGCTGATTGGTTCCGAAAGTAATAATAGACTTGCTTATAATATTATCTATTCGTAACAATAAATTGTTATTTAAAATTTCATTCGTTGCATGCAAATGTCTATTGCGTATATATGTTGTAAACATTGATATTTTGATAAACTGCTGTACACCGCGACTTCGTTAATAGTGAAGTTTAGTTGAATTTTTGTGGACTGTTTTTGAAATTACAATAAGTAATGTAATATTTTTAAACTTTCATTTTAAATTACTGTATTAAACAGATTTTAATATCTTGTGTCTCCATGTCTGTGAATAATAAAGTGAATAAAAGAGTATAAATGTGTAAAATTATAACACAACTAACAAATAAATATTATTTTTATAGGCTGTAGTACACAAAAAAGCAGCTGGCCAGACTCAACAACCTGTACACTACGGTCAGGTGAAAGAAGAGGACGACGATTCTAGAGAATACTAGTCTAAAAACAAAATTTTTTTATTACATGAATAACTAGTAGTATATTGTTGACTATTTATTGTAAGATTAGATACGTGTTTTCTTTTATTTCAATAAAAAAATATAAAAGTATCTCAATTTTTTTATAGTAATTTAATTTATAAAACACTAAAGTAAAATGATGATGATTAATGTAAATAATGTAATTAATAATTATAACGTTTTATAAACTGTATTCATTCAATATTTTCTTTAAAACTGTAGAAGTTTAGTAAGTATATTATCAACATACTAAGGAAAACGGGTATATATTATATCTCATATTATTTGTACATAACATAACGGAAAAATATTAAAAAACAATCTTTAAATATCATAAATTGTGTATATTCCTTTTAATATTTCAAATACATATTTTTTACGAAAAAAATAATTTCGATATCTGATGAAAGATTTAAAATAAATAATTTAATATATATATACAGAAATATTGTTGACAAGTTAATTATCGACTACAGATCAGACAACCTTACGGGTCCTGGAATGGTTGGCAATCTAATTCGTTTAGTTTTTTTCTATGAATATAAAGTACTAGCTACCCAGATTTTCGTCATATTTTTTTGACATAAAGGGTACAATCATTCAAGATCACATAAATATATACAGTCAGAAACATTTTCACATTAAAAAAAATGGTATAGTTCATATTGATTTACATTGGACTAGAATACTCTCTAAATAATACAATTATTGTCCTGATATTAATAATTGATTTGGTACAACATAATATTTTTATCTCCATTGACACATATTTTTCTTTTTGACAGCATTTTTAATATTACATTAAATGTGTAGAAAAAGTAATTTATAGATTAACAATCAGAAACACAATCGATTTTTTATATAATATTACGACTAGCTACTTAAAATTTATACTTATGTAATTCAGAATGTATTTCAGTATAAATAAATTCTTAGTATTTAATTATAATAACAAAATCTATACCCTAAGAAGAAAAGCAGTTTTTTTTATATTGGTAACCGTGATACACTTGGTCCCGGTAGGAAAGTCTTCAGAAAATCCATAGGAAACGGAAATATTATTGTAGAGTTCTTCTCAGCTGATATAGTATTGAGGGATTGTAGGTACCGTAACTGTAAGGAGAAAGATTAATTTACATTCAGTATTATAAAATATGTCACGGTATAAAAAAGCGATTCCATCAGACACACTTTGGCTCTTTGAAGCATACTTATGCTTGCTGTGTGCCTATAGAGTATGGTTTTTAGTGAATATAAAAATAACGATCCTTTAATTTGATGGAAGAAAATTTTGGAATTCATTACTTACTGCAGAAACATTTATGATTTATTTGCATATCTGCAATGCATTAAAGGTTACTCTGTTTAATGAGTATTCACCTCTATGGGATCATCTTCCGTTAATCTTTTATTGGAAGCCATTTATTATAGGCACGACTTATAGATAGAATTTAATATCTACTGAAAGTTGTTATCCAGGTAGTGTATAACGACATAACGACATTACAGACCTGCAACTAACTAAATACATCTTCTTTACATAGAGTTCCGATTTTACATGATACCTGTGATGATACGTATATATGTATATATATGAATGGACAGATAAACTATTTTGTAATAATTGCTTACTTGTAGTGCCATAGGATTGTCAATCATAACAAGAGAGGCTTCTTTCAAAGCCTTGGAAGCCTTAATTTCTCCTTCAGCAGCAATGACTTTAGCGCGTGCCTCTCGGTCAGCCTCGGCTTCGGCAGCCATAGCTCGTTGTAATTGTACAGGCAAACGAACATCTTTACTGAAATGTAATAAATACATTTTAATATTCATATGTAATAAAATGTGTTTTTTACTATATAAGAAATTCATGTAATTTCAGCTATAAATAATTAAATTATTTGATATATCATAGATAACCTAATTACTTTTAATTTCGATATCTTTAAATGAATATTATTTTGTGCAGATCAGTATCAAACTGTACTACAGCATGTATATATTTTTTTTAATCTTGCTATTTGTTTATAATATAAGCAAGCGACGCAATCAGTCAGTACCTACACTCACGTATTCCACAAGATCGTTCGAGAGAAATCATTTCAACACATAATACTGAAGTATTTTTTTTTGTATAATTTATGTAACTTTAATTTTAACTTTGAAAGCTATTACACAAAATATCTATATAAGTACATACTTATAAAGATATTTTTTATAATTTTAATCATATAACTTTCTTTTGCTAAATCTTTGGGTTGTTTATTACATTCAAATCTTTTAAGTGGCATATACTTACTATATTTTTTTTAATTTAATACCATGCGTGACTTACATTTCTACTCTTTCTACCTCTACGCCCCATGGATCAGTGGCTTCGTCCAAGTTGGCCTGCATCATGTGACTAATAGCCTCGCGATCTGACAGAAGCTGGGCGAGGTCTCGCATGCCCAATACATTTCGAAGAGTAGTTGCGGCCAGTAAACGAGTAGATGCACTAATGAAAGCCAGATGTTATTTTTACCCATTTACATTCATTTGTAACTAAACATTAAATTAATGGTTAAAAATGTATAGCGAGCATAATTGGCCGTTATAGATTATCTTAAAAATGCCTATATTAAATATGATACTTAGTATATTTGATCGGATGCAAAGAAGATATTCTGAATGTCGGGGTATATTCTGAACTGTATTTAGGAGTATTAGGGCAAATATTAATTCAGATAATATATAATTCTATAAGGTATAGTATAATTAAGATATTTATAATAATTTGAATTACTGTTTAGCAAGATGATGTGCTATAGATGTTTAACGCCGCTTGGAAGGTTTATTCACTACTATCTAGACACATACGGTAAATTTTTTTCTGGAAAATGCCGCAAACATAAAAATCTTTATCGGTTCTGTAAAATTTTATGTTCTCTCTCATTTTGATCATCAAATATCTTCTGATTATACTGAATTTTCTTGATTGCCGTGTTAATCTCGTAGTAATTAGTTCATTAATCACAGCCATAAATACTGACCTGTAGTCGGCAACCCTAACAACTGCATTCAATGGTTCTTTGATGCGATAGTAGACTACTGCATCTACTGCTACCGTCACCGAGTCTCTTGTTAATACCTAAAATTTAAGAGATATCTGATTACACTATATTTTAGTAGTAATACTGTAGTTAGTATGTAACGGGGAAGAGCTTTTGGAAAGAAATGGGTGTTAGTGGCCGTCTATACATATGTCAATCTTTTAAAGTTAACTCACTATAACGTTTTTTATGGTAATCAAATTTCTTCTAAAGTAATGAATTATTTGCGAAGGTGTTCTTATAAACATTATATCAATCCTTATCAAAATAAATTCGTTAACATATTTTCGCCCCGTGCGAAGCCGGGACGGGTTGTTAGTTATATATGTATTTGGCCACTGAAACACGTCATAATTTTTACCATTACCCCTGCCATCCATTTCGGCAGCTACTTCAGTTGAGTAGAATTCTAATGAAATTTGACCCGATGATTGATTTTTTCAGTACGTATTAATACCCGGCTAGCTTAGCTAATAAATAAATCATCCAACAATTTAGACACCCACCAAGCAGTAGCTAAATAAAGGAACTTCATTTCTACAGTTGTTTACGGATTAGGGCGTCAGGCGAGTTGGCGCAAACCACGTTTCTACAATCAGGTCAGCTCTGTTGAGTTTCTCGGTCGCGCCGCGCCGGGAACATGCGACTAGTCAAAATAAACAATCTTTCGCACATGATTATGTTATACATCATAGTATTATATTTATACAAATACCTTCGGTTTAATTATTTTAATAAACGTACATTAATTTATAGAACATGATTAATTAGTAACGATATGCTTTATTTAAATCAACACTGTTCATAAAGGTTATTGAGAAAATAATTAATGTATTTATCTTATATAGAATAAGTTTATTAGAGAGTAAGGAATTTTATTAGTAAAATTAAACAATTTTAAGCGATGACTTCATTCATAGCATCATAAACGCAAAAGTGTGTTTGTCTGTCTGTTAACGTTTCACAACTAAACGTCTGAGCAGGCCGTGAGGACGAACATAAGATATTCTTTTTCAGGAAACATTCTAGAAGGATGAAAGTATACAGACAAAATAACGGATAATAGTTAGTCATCTATAAATATTATTAATAGATATCATAGACATGCTTTATTAAGTACATATGTATTATATAACTTAAATAGTATATACTTTATTTGTAATGTACAGTAAAGAAAAGACATAAACATTTATTAAAGAAGACAGATATAATTACAATAAGGCGGTACTCGAGTGTGATTGATAATAAAGATACTTATTTACTTAAGTAACTCTACCTGAGTTATGGAAAAAAACACAATTACAATTAGAAATGTACAAACTAGAAAACTTAAGAGCAAAACACGGAACGGGTAGGTCTGTGTCATTTAACTGAATTATTTATAAGTACGTTGCTAGGTCAGTGAGCTTCTAGATAAATTGCGTAGGTACCTGTAGTTTACGATTGTAGAACATGTCGTTAAACTTTGATTGATAGGTTTATAGCTGAATCAATTAATCCCAGATCGTCTGAATGGCATGACTAGGGTTACCAACTAAATAATGAAGTTGAAGGCACTTTCAATTCAATCTACATAGACAAGAACAGAAGTTTTTCATCTAATTATATTTTGTATAATTATGTAATATAAAGAAAATATTATCCTATTTGTGATACAACTATACCTACTCATAAAAATCTCGTTTATTATTACTGCAGATGAGCCTATGTTAAAACTAAGCGGCCAGGTGACTTGGTATATTTATTATATTGGACTTTTTTCCTATTCCACTATTTTGCTTCTTCTGCACTCATGTGTTCTTTGTAATTCGTTTTGTATTATTTATTCTCACATTGAATATGAGAAAAAAAAAGAAAAATTGCACATACATACTTCTTATGAGACTTTATAATTATATTGTAGTACTTATACAATTGGACAGTATATTTAATATATATAATGTATGAATTTGAAGTTTTCGATTAAGTGCTCAATCAGTTACAAGGGATGGATAACGCCTAAACCGAAGTAGGTGTAGCTTTTGTATTTAAAATATATTTGAAGAAATGGGCCATATCCGTCACTGTCACATATTGGTGAATTAAAGCATAGGTCTGTTTTGCAGGAAAAAATGTACCTATGGTAACGTAAAAAGAGGCTTTTGCTTAGGAATATCGAATTAGAGAATAAACAGAAATATTTTATGGAATAGTCTATGTTTATATATTTTTTACTGCACCGCAGACTATTATACATTATCGTATCTTAGGCCTTTTCAAGTATGGGGTGAATTTTATGGATATTTTATTTTATAATACACTTTCTTATTAACGCCAATTACTCAATCATTCATGACATCTTAATAATAATAATATCAAAGGACTACTCTCACAGTGCCATGAGATGGCCTTTCCATTTGTTCTAAACAAATGGGAGAGATTGTGTTACGAGTCAGATAATTGATATAATTTTTTTTTATAACGCTTACTGAATATAGGTACATAGAAAACACCCAGCCACCCAAACAATCATACTCATGAATACAAATGTTTGTACCATGTTAGGAATCGAACCCGCGACCATTGGAATTAAGGCGGTGTGCTAAACCACTACACCACCGAGTCCGTCATTAGTATTCTCGTATCACATGTCTACGAGATGTACGAGTACATAGGTAACGGTTACCACTAAAAATTAGGTGAGCCGTAAACTTGATTGCCCTTCCAATTACTTTAAAAAAACAGCATATAATTCTTGTTAGATTTTCCTGCTTCTTTCGTTTGATGATGATGTGAGATAGATAGATATATTGGTTTACATTTGGTTGGCAATCCTATATAGAGATCAGCAATTGGGTTAACTGTTTTCAATACCAATGCCATTACGGACCACCGCGGTGTTTTGTGTAAGACACGTGATATACAAATGATTTTATTGTTTACGTGTTTTGTTTAATTCAAAATTATCGGTGATACGGTGAATGTACTGTATGTACTATAGTACTACTTTGTATCTATAAATGTCTGGATAGTCAGATTCATAGTATAATCATTTTAGAGTATTATTCAGCGAGTTATACCGAAACGCTAAAATTGACCGTCTTACGTGAATATTGTTTGTATATTTGTTCTTCACGAGGTTCCACAAAAAAAAATCTAAAACGATTTAAAAATTGGCAAAGATATCTCATAATCTAACACATACATGTTTATTAGATACACAAAAGTTCTATTGTTAACAATTTTGAGTAGTTTTTGTAGGTGTATAAATATACAAACAGTACCCAGGTAAATCAACAAATAATTCACGAAATATGAGTCATAAAATTCTAACGGCTTGTGGTTTTCTAACTCTAATTCACAGCAAAACATGATCTTAATTTGGCACAGCCTAAGTAAAAAATTACCTCTTGTGGAGGGACATCGAATGACACTGTTCTAAGATCGACTTTTCTGTAAGTGTCGATGCAGGGTAGTACAAAAAATAAACCGGGCCCTCTTGCGCCGCCTTTTCTTACTCTTCCAAGTCGAAATATCACAGCACGTTCGAATTCTTGAACTACCTATAAAATATAAGTTTTTATTAATAACAAAAAATAAGATTTATTTAAAAATCAACTGCTTTCGGAATCCATTAGTATAGATAAACAGTGGAGTGGAGTAATCGATTTGAAAAATAAAGAAAAAGGATTGTTTAGAATTGGCGACGTTCACCATAATGTAATTTATATTTAACAATTACTGTCAAATTAAGAATATTCTCATTATTTAAGCCACTAAAAAATATTTAAGAAATTATTATAAAAGGTGGAAAGAAACCTAAGCTTTAATAATGTGCTAAATGCATATTATTAGGGCTTAGATTTCTTTCCTTCCTTCCTTACGTAAATGTAAGTACGTGTACATTATTAATTACATTCTTAAAATTAGTGTAAGATGTTAATAAATATGGGATGATTTGTTGAAGTAAATGAAGCACGATAGAATTTATTGGCACTCGATTCTTTCTTCCTACCAAACTACTGGCAAACATATTTTACTTACATACTCGATTTCACTTTTTAATAATTGGATTTGTTAATAATTACATATTTAAAAAATTGTGACTTACTATTTCTGCTATTATACTATACTTAATAAGTATTATGATATGGCTTTATATCAATTATTTAATTATATAAGAAGACACCCTACTTCTTAATCCCAGTGGTTTAAGTTAATCCTTGGTACATTGGTTAATTACTATCTCTTCTTGTTTATTGTTTGAGTTCATAAAAGAGACAGTAGATTATTTACACTAAATTTAATATATTTAATCAAACGTTAGTAAGAATAAAAAATAAAGTTAGGTTTTAAATATTCAGTTTAGAGTTAGACATAACTAGAATGAGCATAATTTTACCTTGAAACATTCGAAGAGGGAGAACGGGAATGTGATGATAACCAGTAGAAATGATAAGAAAGTAGCAAATCGCTCTACACACCCCACAGCCTCTGGATTTGCTGGGGAATGAAATTTATCTTCGTTTCTTTAGATATTCACAGAAATAATTCGTAAAGTATTTAGTAAGTTTCGGTTACTTTAAAACCACACGTAAGTATCTAGCTACTCTTAGGTTTAATATAGTTCGATGTACCTACAGTTTTAAAGATAATTCGACCCTAATTCTCCGTTTAGCCGATTCCGGTCGTATGTATGCCGTCCGTAAATGAAGCATAGAAAATGAGACATTGAAATTGCATTTTTATTCTCGTCTACTTACGCATTTGTATTGTGATAGCGCAAGACGTACTCGTATCATAATCTAAAATATTTAAAGTACACAAATTAGAAATATTAAATGCGGTCTATTTATGTTCTTAGCGCAACAATGTCTCGTCTACTTACGACTGGGTACGTTGTCACGTCTAGTACCCATCGGCCTTAGTTCCGGACGCATTTTACTAAGTATCGTGCACGCGTCCTAGTTGTCCCGAATAATGCAATAGTAAATGTTCATAACGGCGATAAACACGACGAACAATCACAGACTGCGCTGGTATACGGTCTACCTATCCGTCAGAAGAGCCCAACTGTTTACACGACCCAAAAACAACACCGATTCCAATTAAATTACAATGCGTTGTTCCACAACAATACGTAATAGATCACTGTTAATAGCCTTTAGTAAAAAGTATTTACGTATTTCTATGTAGCACTCCACTTCGCCTGAATCCTTGTCATAGCAACCGAAATCCATGGGTGTTAACCCTCTGAATGTATAATACGTTGATTTAATGTCAATCAACATTAAAGTGGTGTCTTCTCGATGTCTATATCGGTACTAAGGTGAGATGCTGTAGATTGAGGTTGTTGGTAAAAATAAATAAATAACGCACTTTCAACCATACCGGCGGGTGAACGCGAGCGCACACTGGATCGCGATGCTCCAAATTGTGGATTTTAGGTATTTCAGATGCGGCTAAACTCCACCGTTGTGTGAAATGTTGAGAGGATGTTTAGACAATAACTAATAAGTTCCGTTACTTATTTTTAAGCCTCTGATTTAGATATAACACTTACACTAAATTTGTAATGAAGAGCAAATTTTATAGTACCTGAATATAGTACCAAGTTCTAATTAATTAAATTAATCATTTTTTAAGCAAAAATGATTGAAGTCCTTCATTTAATCATTTTTGCCTTAAAAATTGATTTATTTGAAAGATCATGCACGGAATGAAAATTCCTAACTTATGAGATGTTTGGACATCTAAATGATATATTTTTATACGTACTCATTAAATTAGACGTATAAGATAAATGTTACTATTTAACGTTTTCTTTGAATCCTTTATAACTGTTTAATGAGAACGACTGTCTGATGTTGAAATATAACAACTGTTTAATAAATAACCAGCTGTAATAGATCGTTTTTTAAAGATGCTCTTTTTTATTTGAGAATTATATCAATGGAATTAGGAATAATGAATGAGAGTCGAGTAGGAACAGTAGAAAAGTGTCTCGAATATACAATGTACATTCGTATTTATGACATTACAGCTGCGTTCAGTTTTAAATAAGAAACATTTAAATTGATAGTTTTTATTATATTCGTATATAGTTTATATTATTACATGTAAACATGTATATAGTATATATAGATAGATTTACCATTATACATTGTCGTCATATCGTAATGTCGCGTTTTGTCCATAGACTACCATGAAGAAGGGTTTAGAGCGATAGCTATTCATTTACTTCCTGTCGATGCTATTTCTAGATAGAGGTTGTCATATTCCTATTCAGATTGTATGGGATCTGAAAATCTTTCATTCCTGATCGTTGACAGTATGTATGAGTATTTTCTCTTGCTATAGCTTACTTTGTTTGGTGGTTTATATCCGTTCTATATCTATACACATTGATACTTTTGCGGATTTCCTCATTGCCGTCTCTATCACTCAGCGAAACTCCAGATATAAACAGACGTCATAAGCACCTTTTATTAGGGAATATTAATGTTGTAATGTTATAATTAATTTTTCTTCATAATCTTAATAAAATAAAATAAAATAAAATAGTATGGAACCTTATCATTATTGTCAAAATTTATTTCATTTGTTCTCATGCTTAAAAATATACACTTTTAATTATATACTTATATAAAAACATTTCTTGGATAATATTGAATTATTGCATCATAGGAAAATATTGCATTCAGCTACTAGCAATTAGGTCCTTGTAAATATATAAGTATTTTCAGGTTATCTGTTTATAAGGAATATTTTTCGAAGTATTCTAATACTGGTGAATTTAGCTAGCATTTACAGCTTCATCAGACCATAATCCGGTACAAACTCATAAGTTTGAATAAAGAAATAATACCAGAAGATTGATTGTTAACTACAGATTGCTAAACTCGTTGATATAGAGTGTTACATATTGTATTTTATTTACATTACAGATTATAGAAGATTAACTGCGCCCGCGACTTCGTCCGCGTAAAATGAGGATAGTTCCATATAACCTTTCATATCCCCTTTCAACCCCTTACAACCCTATTTTTTGCATTAAAAAGTAGCCTATGTCAGGGTCTAGACTATCTGTGTACTAAATTTCATTTAAATCGGTATAGATATTTCGGCGTGAAAGCGAGACAGACAGACAGACAGATAGACAGAGTTACTTTTTCATTTATAATATTAGTAAGGATTATAGAAATATTGTATTTGTGTTAATTATCCAGTAGATAGTCGGCGATCACTAATAATCGTGATTAGTATACCACGTCTTCTAAGTTTAGAACTAGTTCTTTTCTGTGCGGCTTTTAACAAATTTATTGGAAAATGATCAAAGCCGATGTTGGTTTTAAAAATAGTGTGTGTAGGTGATAAAAATAGTGTGACCAAATTCCCCGGCACATGTCTTTTTCCTCTGCAACAACTCTGGCATGAGACTATCGAACCATTATTTACTATTATATGGATTGATTTTTTATATCGAAATTAGATCAAAAGTCTATTTTATAATTTGATAGATATTTTTATTTACCATTTATACTGTATTTCCGGTTGATTCTTTGGTGGTTCTGGGAACACCTAGCTATTGATTACTACGGAGTACAAAAAAGCAGGAATATTGTCAACACTGCATATAGATTATGTAAAACAAATACCCTTTACTGCTATGTCGTAATAAGAGGCAGGATATGTTAGCCATGGAAGTAGTATTACAAAAGCATTGTTTTCTTTTCGCATCCATTGTGATCGTGTAAATATAATTTCTGATCACACGTTTTTATACGTCGAAAGAGGAGGATAATGGTCATGTTTGATTATGTATTTGTTAATTAAAATTATATATATGTATAAAAAAACTTGAGACTGCCGTGCCCTATTGATTATTGTATACGGAAATGTGATTTATTTTTCTTATGGATGATAATGTAATAGTACACCCGCCTACGCAGACGGTTTACGCTGGAGACCAGTGGAGAATGATACGATGAACATGAGATCAAGTCGGTTCATCGTGGCAAATTCACCATGAATTTATAAGAATGGTTTCTATGCGGAACCATGGAGGTCAACCTGATATGGTATATTGCTATTGCAATGGGGTTATTAGTCTACATTACTAACAATCCCCTTTCCCCCAAATGTAGTTATTTGCTACGTTGGATTCAAATACTGAGGGATATAAAGTCGTCATGTTTTGTCAAGCAGCTTATTTTGTAAGATTAAGATGTGGGCCAGGTTAAGGGTGACATAAGATAGTGAAATTACAGGATAAGAAACAGGGTATCACGGATATCACATCATAATATAATGTCTCTGGCGCTGTTCATGTATATATGTAGATGAAGGTAACTTATCATTTAGGTTGTTTGCATGTTTGCCATTAAAATTATATAAAAAAAATATAACGAACGAAATGTGGGCACGTGAAATGTTGCGTTTACTGTGACATTGATAATCATCAAAGTGTATTTTTATTCGAAAAATATCTCAACATGACTGTATTTTTCTGTGATTAGTATTTTAAATAACTATACGAGAGAGGTATATAAGTTTTGAACGGGTATTAACGTAGATATTGTTGGACCTCTAACGCTTAGACAAATTCTGCTTATCCCTTTTTAAACGACTCTACAATTCTAAAATAATTAGTATTCACTTTTATGGTACCATATTTTATTTAGGCAATGTTGTATCCGGTAGTCCTTTGAAAAACTATATCGATAAGAATACTTTTTTATGAGAGCGTTGTGATCTAGTGGTTGATTACCCCGACTTACACTCAAAAGGCTAGAAGAGCCCAAATCATGCCGAAAACAAAATAAGAACTTTGAGTGTCAATATATATCTCTGACTGACTACTATTTGATGAAGGAAAAATCGATAACGAATGAAATAATAAGCCAAGAGCGGCCTACCGTCCATGTTAAATGTGGCGTTCGCCATGACGTCGACAATTAACAATGCTTGTGACTACCCCTTCTGAGAGAACAGTCATGACGATATGTTTGTTTTATGTCATTTATTCTATACCTGTAATAATCTTGGCGACGGGTTATTATCGTGTGGTGATGAGATAGTAATGATGCATACGGTATTAACAAAACCGGTCGAGTTAGGAATTATGTTTGAACTTACGATGGATGACAGGATGCGACCTGATCTTTTAAACCGGTGTGCAGCCTCTCACTCGTTTTACCGCTCTAAGTCACCGTCTTGACCTTTACAGAATGTCCCACGTGAAGTCAACCCTTTGACGTAACTTCAAATTTAAAAATAGGATGCCTAGATTACGAGAGTATATAAAATTATTAAATACTAATTACCAAACAAAGGCGGTTCTGTCAAAGATAAAAAGGTTTATTTAGTCCATAAAGTTCTTGTAGAGAATAAGGTAGCCAAAATTCCGGTAGAAAAATTGTGTGCAGATTGGATTTTGCATTTTTTATGGTGATAGGTATGTAGACGAACTTATTAAAGTAGATAGGTAATGGCTATATATAATATAATATAAAAGATTTATTTAAAATACATGTATATCAATATATATAACTTGTTGCAATAAACAAGAAACTAAAACTAGCTTTAATTAAGACAGAAAAGGGCTTGGTTCTCCTAAATATATTTAAAAGGGCAATAAGACAAGATCGCGTTAATGTAATTGGAAAATATTTAGCATTTTAACTCAAAAAATGTTGATAGTTTAAATTTCATTAGCAACTTTACTGAGTCATGAGATCAGTGGATTTTTTAAGCACACCTATAATGGATTCGTAGTAATCATATTATGCAGTCAATATATTATTACATTACAGTACGTATCACAAGTTAATTGAGATATTATCTATAGTGTTAATTTATATCAGGATATATACAATATAAAATATAGTATATAAAACAACGTATTATTTGAAATTATTTACTTTATAAAGTTTGGTAACAAATGATTTGGTATCTAATAATAATAATAATGGAGTATTTCCCAAGAAGAACTCAGATAAATACAAGGAATATAAATTATTACAAAACATCATAATAATATATAGAAAATACAGCTTGACTAATACAAATGAATATAAAAGGCTGTACTGTGCGGCAATGGAACTGGGCCGCAAGGACAGTAAGGCAAAGTAAATTCGTTTTTGGGGGTAAACCTAGGTTTTCTTAAGTATACCATAATATGTACATGAGATCTGTGTCATAAGTACTAATATATAACAATGTAGGATTGATAGTGTAGTCCCACAATTAAATTTAAATAATATAAATACCTTATGGAATATAGGTTTACGTGTAATTATTAGATTGTTTCGTTATCAGATAGTTGATAAAGTACTTGCATTTGCCCACAAGTCGTGATATAATCTGAGAGTTAGATGCCTTAAATGCCATAGAGTCGTTATATAATAAATTGGTACTTCTAATATTATTACCGATTATATTGGAAGGGTGTGTCGTATAGGCCTCTATCAGTACATAAATCATTTTATCTACTGAGATGATGAAACTTCTGATTATGTAATGTAAGACAATCCTTATAAAAACCTTATAAAAATCCTTATAAAAAACCTTTTCAATATCAAAAAAAAGTTCTAATTAGCAATTTGATTGTAAATGTTATAGCTTGTGTACGAAAATAATGCGTAGATATTGTTTTCAATATTTTAGTAAGGTTGTATTAATTTTTTTCAATCTAATATGCATGTCTGAATAACTTCATCTATATATGTCTCGTTTAATTTGGATATCCAGTAGATCTTATTTAGATAACAAATACTTTCTAAATATATCGAAAAATTGCTTTTTATTTTGGTAAGAACGGATCATAATAATTACTTACCTTATGATGAGATTTAAAGACAGAAATATTTTTGCGACGATTTCGTAACCAGATAAGCTAAAACGGAATCTCTTAAAATTTCATCAAGTCGTTTTGTCTGACCGTCTATCTATCAAGGCATCATAACATTTTACTGTCACGTAAAAGCACTTTAAATATATGTATACAATACAAAGATATGAGTAGCTAAGTTAAAAATATAGCAAGTAGTGTTGCTATATTGTTAAATTACTTGCGATATCAGTACATAGCATATTTAACCTTAATCGTAGTTTCTTAATACTTAGACAGAAAAATTGCAAATATTTATTCAAATGGGCAGCCTTTTTAAGAGAACCCAAGTGCCGTGCTATTTAAATTAGTACTCAACATATTCAAAGTATTTAAAACAAGTGACTGTATTTCAGCCACTTGTTTTCTTATTTATAATTGAAATGATTTTGTATTGTCTTTATTATTATAGCATTTAATATTTAGGTCACTTTTTTAAGTAATTTACTAAGTCAAAAGTTTGATTGGTAATTACTAATTACTGCATAATATTAAAAATTCCTTAGACACTTAATTGGAATTTAGATGTGAGGCATGGTCTAGTTTCGTAACGATTACCTATAGATCATCTATGGCTACATTCTTCATTAAGTGGATTGGTATATAAGTACTAATATCAATTAAAATTGTATCTCTAGACAGCAGAACACCTAATCTGGGCATTTGATATAAAATATTCCTATTCAATCAATGAATAGTTGATTTAATCGTAAAATAGATAGTGCATAGTGCTCATTGAATGTAGATTAATTTTTAATTATAGCTGTGCCTGGAGTTTTATCCGCATGAAATTTATGATCCATGTGTTATTCTAATGTATAAGCTATGTTATTGTAAATTTCATTAAAATCCATTCAAGTTCTTGCGTGAAAGCTTAATAAACATCCATCCATCCACACTCACAAACTTTCCCGTTTATCATGTTGGTAACATATTATGACAAATAATTATGACGTTTATGGCATACATATATATTTTTTAATCAGGTTAATGTAACGATACTGGACTGGTTGTACACGACTTGGTATACAGTTTCATTTCATGTTTTCCGTCTCTTGCGTTGGTGGATCGAAGCATGTTCCCTACTTACGAGTCTAACTAACTCAGTAATATAATGTGGTATTTAAATTGTTATAAAATTTGTGAATGCTAATACACTTAGCCTGTAATATTGCGTTTAGAAATTTACTAAGAAGAGGTATTCTTATATTTACATACAATCATAATTTACGAGTCAGGCTCTTGTCAGTGGAGCTTTGCTTAATGCTGTACTTCTATAACGAGATAAAATTTTCTAATTTTACCTAATTTTGTACTACTTTTATCCGGTGTAAATATTTACTAAGAAATCTAGATATATACCTTACCTTACCTTATTTAGATAAAACCTTACCTAACAATATTATTTAAAAATTTTATATAACAAAAAAATGACGTAAAATTATAAGTAATGTAGTAATAGTTAAATATTATTTAATTTGATATTTTTTACCTTGACTGTTGCTCCACAGAAATATTTTTTAAAGTTTTATGTAAATTTGAGCTAGTTGATTTGTTAAATATATTTAAAATGACTATAATAAACTGATGCTGTTTTTTTAAATGAGTGATTTTTTATCCGTAAATATTTGTAACGAAAGTTTTAAAAATGCTTAAACTAAAAGATATTCGGAATTAAACATAATGATATAAAAATGTTATTATTATATAAAGTCTTATTTATTGATTATTAATAATATAGGGACTATACTCTAGGATCACAGTGGTGCATTAAGGCAATAGCATCAGGTGCATATTGGTGGGGCCATATATTTATAAGCGTTGTAAGCGCGCGCTTTTGCCCCGAGCCTGTTGCATCGTCTACACACACACACACAAACATGCGGGTAAGTGCTCTTGCGCAATTTCTAACCTCCATTATAGACTTAAATGAAAATAGTTTCGATGGCATTACTTAAAATTTAATTGTGTAAACATTTAACGGTCGAATGAAATAATTCTGCTTTAAATTAGTAGGTAATTAATTTAGAAAATATACTCTTTACAAGAATTCAATCTTCACAAATAAGAACTTTGAACAATGTCGCAAATATCTCTTTTTTTTAACATTTTCTGAATGATTAAAATTAAAAGATTTCATAAGCCCTTCTATTTAAAAAATCATGTTGGGAGCACATAATTAAAAAAAAAACTAAAGAAAATTAAGTTGTGGTATAATTTATTAGTATAAGTACCATCTGTTTTAGACGTTACTGCTGTTATTGGCGTGTACAAGTGCCGTGATAGCAGTGCCGCAATACTTGTCACATGGTGGATTGTATGCGCATGCGCCTGTAGCGGTTTCCGCCCCAGTGATACATGCTCCGATAGCAGTCGAGCCAGTTGTAAGTCAACTTCTTTAAATAAAATACAATAGTAACTGAAAAAAAAACTAACTAATATGTATATTTACAGAGTTGATCACAATTAAGGGTACACCAAACTAAAAGTCAAGTACTATAGTTATAATACTTTTAAACTTCAAGTACTTTCTACAAGAAAATAGTTGAATTACTGCTTATTTAATTCATCATGTAACTGTACAGTATGTCAATAGGTTTTAAAATTTATTTTTATCAGGTTTGCACTATATTTCTTTGGGAAAATAGTTCAGATTTATGTTTTATGCTATTACTGTCTATAAGCTTGGTATATATTCTATGTGGGACAAAATCTGTATAACATGTACAAATAGCATATTTTTTATTCTTTAGTGCATGCAGATCATGCTTTTTGCTGAGTATAACTTTTTATACAACGTGTGAAACTTCTACTGTAATTAAAAATTAAGGTTTATTTATTTTCATATCCCCACTTTAAAATCCATCAAATGCTTTAATCTTGTGTGTATGATTAGAGTCACTATTATAGAATCAAAATTGTTATGCAACATATAAGGCCAATATGGTTCTATGGCCAAAACAAACTACTGCTATGTTCGTTTGTTACTTTTAATGTGATGATCTTAACATGGCGTAATAATTGTTAGTTAGTTGTCATTTTTGGGACATTTTTCGTACTTGATGTTACATCTGAATATTTATATAAACATAATTATTTAGTTATAGGTAAATTTGTTTTTTTCTTATTAGGTTCATTGTTTAAGTTTTAAATAATAAGATAGAGTATATTGTGATATAGTAGCTAAAAACATTACTCGATTGTAATTAATTACATATTGACAAACTATGCTAGTATCAGTACTTTAATTAGTGTTTAAATAAAATATTTTAGATTTTAGTTTCCAAAGTAAATAAATCATTGAATGTTATTATTCGTCCTTACATTCACATCGAAAATGTAATCTTACATTTTATTAAACAACTATTTTTAAATGACTTTAAGTATTACTTATATATCTAATGTTTACAAATTTCTGTATGTCTATTTATTTTTATAGTTTTGACTTATTATGTCTACGACAATATTGACAGTGAACACATTATCCTATAACATTTTCTAGGTTTTCTAGAAGAAAAATCTTCTTAGAGATAATCTCGCCCTTGTACATTACATTTATCATATTACTGTTATTATTTCCTATAATAATATCCTTGGACAATTCACACAATGCCATCTAGTCCCAAGGTAAGCAGAACTATTATTGGTACTAGACAAACACTCAGACCGATACCAGCAATCATACTTACATACACAAATGTTTGTACCGTGCAAGGAATCGATCATTATATGTAATGCGATGTGTACAATAAAGAAAGAAACAAAAAATGTATTTTATTGTAATTTGTCGTTATAATTAATATTTGCAGTCATATCCAAAGTACGCGTTCAATTATGGCGTGAAGGATCCACATACAGGCGATATTAAATCACAACAAGAAGAAAGGGACGGAGATGTTGTGAAAGGTAATTTCAATAAATATAATAAATATGTGTAAATGTGTATGAAAATCGAAAGAAATTAACAAAAGGGAATAATATAGGGACAAGGAAGGAAGGAAGGAATAAGTGATATAGCACTGGTTAATTTCTTTCGATTTTCATATGTTTAAATAAAATGGCAATACAATTTTACTTTTTTGGAATAAGCAGATAATATTATACCTAAACATACATTTTAACAGATATTCATACTATACGACTAATACAATTTAATATTCAATTCGATCTACAGGAAGCTACTCGCTAGTAGAGCCCGATGGTTCAACACGAACTGTGGATTACTCAGCCGACGACCACAATGGATTTAATGCCGTTGTCCACAAGACCGGACACGCAGTGCATCCGGTAAGAATAAACATATATTTACAATGCATTAAAGTTTTAAAAGTCTAAAGAAACGTTTGCAATTTTAAAATTAACGCAATTACTTAATAATTAATTATTGACGAATTATTTGAAATTATAAAAAAAAACTGTTTAATATATAACAATATGTACCTACACAGAAATGTAGTGGGCAGTTTTTAGAAATATTTCGACTTAATAATAAATGTAATTAGTTTATTATATATCCTTACTAGCTATATCCCGAGACTTCGTCTGCTTTTTTTAGCTAAATGATAGGCTATGTGCCTCTTAGTGATGTAATATATCTTTATGTTTTATTATTATTATTGTGTCTTGAATAGTTAACAACTGACAGCCACATTTTAGAATTCATAATACTAGTATATAAAGAATATATTTTATATTTGATTTATTAATTTCTACTCCTATAAGTAGTTATGTAGATACGAATGCTTATAGAACAAAAATCGAGACTGATAATTATTTACAGAAATAGTGTATAATTATTTTATTCAGTGGATAACTTATTAGAGTGCTCAGCATTACACAAACGCGATTTCTCTGGAATTACACGGCGGCGTGCGCTTACGCAAGTTACTAATGGTGCGTAAGCTTATAAGGAAACGAGTTAGTCCGTAGATCTTGGCCAACATATTTAACAGAATATCTGGAAAGTCTGAACACTGTCGAGAATGGACCTTTCTGGGAAGCATGCATCATATGCCCTTATGTAAATTATATTAATTTTTAACCGATTTCTTAAAGTAGGTCGATAATTCGACTGCATTTTATTATATAATTGTGCTCACAGTTTTACCCGCGTATCCTTATTATGCTGTTGTATAAGCTAAATTATTGTCTAATCCATTCAGTAGTTTTTACGTGAAAGAGTTACAAAGATCCATATATACTCACAAACTACCACGTTTTTAATATTAGTAAAATTTTATTTAATATCTTTACAAATTCTGTACTAATTGTAACTTTTTATATTTTGCACAAGTATGTATGTTCAAGTATGTACACTAGAAAGAAACTAAAAAATAGGAGCAATAAAAATATATAGGGATATTTATTCTAAAAGGTTATCGTTATATTTTTTGCACATTACAAATATTTAATAACTTTCAATGACAAACACATTATTGATAGAATAAAAAAGAAATTATACCATTTAGTTAATGTCATATCCATATGAATGTGGATGGATGTAAAGGGAGGGGACGCCCTTAGAAAAGATGGATGAATTGTGTGTAAGATGATATGAATAAAGAAGAGTATGTTTAGCTATGACGACCGATAGAGAGCAGTGGAAGAGAATGACATACTGCGCCGACCCCAAATAATGGGATAAAGGCAAGGCAATGATGAGTTAATGTCATATATTTTTTAACAATTAACATGACATTGAACATTTTATTGATAAAAGTTAAAGCTAAATACGCAATTCCGGATATCTAGTGAAATGTAATGCTTGAGTAGTTGTAACCTTGAAATAAATGGGTACGCATTATTTAGAGAAATTACTCTGCTTCAGTGATTTTCGTGAGCAAACAAATTATTACAAAATGTGAACTGTAGACAATACAAATCACGATCATTTAAGTGACGCAAATAAACTATATTGTTAATCCACAAAAATAATTCTAACATTATTTTTGTGCATTAACAATAATTTAATTAATATTTAGACATAATTTAATAAGTATTATAGTATAAATATACATGTCTTCAGTATTTTTTAGATAACTCCAAAAAAGAAAAGGTTCACATGAAACTATATCTTGTCTACCTAAGTATGTGTATATGTTATGTGATTTTTCAAGGCAGCGATATTACTGTCGCTCTTTAATTCAGTAAGGTTGGATTACGAACCAGACAAATTGGTACAATATGTTTCTGTTATCGATCTATGAACTACGAATAATATGTCCATAACTAATTTTTTTATAATTTTTGAATTCTATAAACAACATGTGTAAATACAACAACATAGCGTGTTCATTATTTTAATCATGATCTAGAAAAGCTTGCAGAATAATAATCTTTATTTTTCTAACATAACTTCCAAGACGACAGGAGTCAGTGTCCTCTCCTGTATTGTAGTGTATTTGTGAGTAAACTAAAATGAAGATATTCTTATAAAATTGAATATTTGATTGAAATACGAATTTCCATACCGTAATATCTTACTATAATATTATATTAGAAACGCGAAAGTTTGTGAGTATGGATGGATGTTTGTTACTCTTTCACGTAAAATCTACTGAATAGATCTTTATGAAACTTAACAACAACAACAATATAGATTAGAAAGAATAGAAAATAATTTATTCAAATAAACTTTTTTTTTATCTCATTTGAACAGTCATAACAATTTGTTTTTTATCTACCACTCGTTCGGAATGCTGTCTCATCACAAGAAGAACGAGCAAGAAATCAGATCAATTATACATTAGAATAACATATAGGCTATATTTTATAAAGATATTATGTAAATTGGGAAATATAATGATGAGCATGTGTGATGTGCAGACGAAGTTGCGCGGGTCAGCTAGTATGGTATATAATAATTCCTCTGTATGTCTATCACCTACCTTCTACCTAAGCAGTTGGACCAATCAGAATGAAATATTATTTCACTAATTTAGTAGATCGCGTTTCTTTTTCGGACGGCACATCATAGGCCGTGTCTGTCAGTAAATTTATATATATCTACAATTTTTCAGGTGGCAGTTGCAGCTCCTATAGCACATTACGCTCCTGCACCAGCTATATCAATTTCTCCCTATGGATTACACTAGGGAACGACATTTTAGATGACGATAATATAATTTTAAATGACATCTCTCGTAATTTAAGTAAAATTCTTTTTAAACTAAAAGCAAAGATGGTATGGACAGGGTAACGATATAAAGCTACTATTCAAGTATATTATATATATTATTTTGTATGTATATAGATAAATAATTAGTTCTGTATGTGGACATTTGTCTACTTTATTTTGACGAGTGTTAAATTGCCAGTTGAGGGAAGCATCAAAAGTACAAGTTAATGTTAAATATACAAGACATTAGTAGATAAGTATATTTGTATTAGTAAGTTTTAATCGATAACTTTAATGTAATAAGAAAATTTTATACAGTTTTTTTATTTATAAATTCGTATTTAGTAAAATATTTAAGATATTGTTATGTGTTTCAATCATTACGAAAGAATATCTCTTCTATTTATATAATAATTATAAGAATAATAATAATTTGAGAGGTAGGTAAATAAATTAATTATAATCAAGCATACCATTAAAAAAACATATAAGAATTTATTTTAAAAAATAATAAAAAAAAAAATTGCTCATTCTTATTGGGTCGCCGTATAAATTATTTATTTTATTTATTTATTATGTATCTACGTTTGTGTTTGCTATACGTAGCCTATATGTATTAGGATATAAGTATATTTGATATTAGTTTTCTATTCGTGCAACGATTTTCAGATTTTTGTTATTAAACCAATTTAACATCAACTATATATGTATATGTTTAAAAACATATATAATTAAGACTTGACTAGTTACGAGATTTATTAATAGCATTAATTTGTAGCAAAGTTCAAAGACCTTACAATACGATTATGGCTTAATTTATAATCAATATATTATTTGCATATAGCCGCTATAAATCCTTAATGGGATATTAGAAACATGTTTCAGTTTATTATACTCAATTAGGAAGCGATGTGTCATATTTATATATACCAGTAGATAACTTTGGAATGCATTGAATCAATGTCAGGTTTCATAATTAACATCAGATGAATTATTACCTCAAGACACAGATAAGATAATATTACATACCTTAAGGTAAAAAAGAATTGGTGAGCATTTGTATCTAATCATACTTTTTTTAAAAATGCCAAATCATCCTGCAGCTCCTGTTTTGGTACTTTCATTCATATTACGAGCTTAAAATATGTCAAAACAGTTTAAATATAAACACTTCACTTTAATTTTAGTAATTAACAGTTTGTTTTATATACGAAAACAATTAAAAATGCAAAAGGAATGAATAAGTTTCTTATATTAATATGTAATAATATTTTCCCTTTAGTTTATGACAAAGTGATTATTATTTTTTTTATTTTTTAACAACTCTCTGTATTTTCCGTGACAGAATATATTATTTTTCGAAATTCATTATTTTTATAATGGATTTCAATTGGAATTTGTTTTATATATGATGCCAAGTATTTTTATGTAAAAAATATTTTTGGAGCCTATGAAAATACCCTAGCTAATGCTGTTCAAAACATGATGTTGTTGTGAATGTAGTAACATTTTATTACGATAGCACACATAATATAGTACTGCCTACACTGACTATTCAACAAAGGTCGATGACCTACATTAAGCTTTTGATATAATGCCATATATTTAGTGAGTAGAGAGAACATAATAAAACAAACAATATTTTCATAGGTTCTTAAATTTACAGTAATACGAGATTTCGATACGGTTTGGAAAATGAGAATTGTTTATATATTGCATTGCTCAGTAACTTAGTCCTCACCTATTATTATTTTTGCAAACACTATTTAGTAAATAGTGTTTGCAAAAATAATAATAGGTAATATACAAAATTTTCTGTTCATGAGTTCTCTACATTTGTTTTGATGGTCTACTGACATATTAGGCATGCATTTATAAAATATATCCACAATAAAAGAATATGTAAATATGTCAAGCCTACAGTACAGCTTTATAATTATCTAGGAACCATAGTGCAAGCCATAGCGTACCAGAGATATATTGTAAATAGTCGTCTGAGTTGGTATCTCAATCTCAATCTCTATTTCTGCAGTCTTTCAGGTTGCTTTATATGCTCTGATTGGGTTGTAAAGTGCATTAGACAGTGAAATTGCAGGATAATAGGCATCTTAGTTCTCTGGAATGGCAACGCATGAGTGGTATCATGGAGATCACAGGACAACGTTATGTCCGTAGTGCTATTCACGTGACCGTCGCGTATTTATGATACGCGACGGTCACCACTTACCAATATATGGCCCGTCATCTTGTTTGGCATTCCAAATACATACAAAACCTACATTATTTGATGGAAGCTCTACTTTGTCCAGTACTAGTAGGTGCTATGTTGTATGCACATCCAGTTCATTTGGGTATATTGTTATTGTTACCTTATAATGATCCTACTTAAATACTGTGGGTGTAAAATTTCAAGTCATTAAATTACCAAATTGGACGTTTTACGATTGCTGTGTTTTATAAAAACTGAACATTTATTATACACATCCGCTCATTTAGCAATTTGATAAAGCCATTATTGTCTTTCATTACTTACTGATTTAGGCATTCATTGTTTTATACAAAATGCCACATATTTTATGTTATTCAGAGTAAGAGTTTTGTATATACTTATATTCTTATATGTTTTATTATTAGTAACGGGAATTTTGACTCAATTCTAGAAAATTCTACGTCAGGTTAACATGAGACATTGCTAGTAATTATCGTGGTTAATTCCTGGTGTTTTGGTCACGATGGACTAACTGATCTGTTTTCATGTTCATCTTATCAACCTCCACTGATATCCATTCCATTATACTCAATTAAAATAAATTAAAATTTTACTATCGTCATTATTTCAGTCACATAGTCACCGGCACTGAATTTCTGTTGTACCTACACTTAAGATGACAGGATGTAAGAAATAAAGCAATACTTTCATGTGTGCAATGCCTATGAATGTTACATGACAATGTGCTTACCAATAGATTCTTAGTTCACTTTATACCTTGGTTATGTAGATTATGGTTAAACTGGCTCTAGCTAGTTCTACCTGTTCATGACACAGTCGTTGGTTATAAGGGATTATAGAGCAGATGGTGTAATAGCTACATTGATGCTGTTTTATATTGTGTACGTATAATATGTAATAATAGCATTAAACTTATATGTTTGGCCCAGTAAATAGACTATTAGGGATATAAAAGTATAATATTTAGATTGGTCACCTATTAATATTAATGAACAATTTGCTTAGAAAGTGCAATAATCTAATATCTAATAAATTATTATCATATAAAGAAAGAATTGAATTTTTTACGATACCCCCAGTTACATTATAACGTCCATCTTACATTGCTACTGTCATGCATGTTTTAATTTATTTATCAATCCACTGCGAATACAGAGTGAACTTGATAATAATATTTTCATCAATTCTACATCTAGTTTAGATTAGTGTGATTTGTGGAGTCAAAATATATTTTTATGTTCATAAAACAACAAAGAATCACTCGTTGTGAATTCAACTGTATACATCAGCGCACAGCATTGCTCCTACTATCCTTTTCATAAAAATTGCAGCAAATCAAACGCTGAGGACAGAGGCTTTACAAAGTTCTATAACAGTACCAACAACCATATCTAGTATCGTCTAAAAGGTACATGTTGATAACGTCGTCTCAAATGGCTTTATCCTGCCATACCTCATGGAGTGACATCAGTGTTGAACGGATATGGGCGAAATTGCTCTCACCCACAAAGTTTACGATCGTATTTAGTATAGCTGTTGTTTTTGCGACTTAACCACTAAAAGGAGTCACTCATCGACTTATACGAGAACTTGTGTGTTGGACCAGCAACACGGACGAACCGTGGCAACGTGCTTAATATTTTGTCACATAGAAATGGATCTATTCAAGGTAGGTCTTTCTTATTTACTTGTTATCCATTTGATTTGGTTTATCTACTAATGTATGAATATAGTTTGTATATTTAAAATATTAGATAACAATATGATAAATTCATGAAATGTATTTTTTTAGAATCTAGCTAAGTACTTTCCAATAAATAATTACAGTGATTGACTATATTGTACCAATGGTCACGAGCAGTGAATAATCGGAAAACTTGGAAATATATTTGTAAATCAATATATGATATAAATTTTAATTAAACTAAGTGATAATTACAAGAAAATAGTTCTATTATATTCTGCGTAGAGTAATTTGATATAGGAATTACTTCCTTTTATTTAGGCTTATCTTATAGGAATATATAATATAATTCTGCCGAATAATTCATAGCAATCTAATATTTCAAATGATGCAAATCCATATATATATATAAATATTTTAGATCAAACAAGAGGAATTAGAGGTACCTAAATTGCGTTAAATACGTAAACGCCTGCACCTACTAACATGCAAACATTATTGTTCTTTGTCACAATGAACTCATCTAGGTGAATTTAAAAAAAAATATATTGTCATATTAGCATTACCTAATACACATGATTATGACTGAGTAGGTGACAGTAGGTAAATAGGTACGAGTACAATAACTGGAAACAAATAGCCTGTTGTTATAACAGAAGCAGTCAATTTTAGATGAAAAGTATTGCATTACTTTTATGTTCAGGCACTTTTACAATTCACATGTGAGTGATTTATTTCAAAATCTATAAATAGGTACTGTATTATATATTTATTGATATTTCACTGCTGTAGCTCATAATAAGATAATATTAACATACTGTAACATAAATCAGTTATTCTTTAAAATCAAAGAAATATTGTGTTTGAGTTAATGCTACTTCAATATTCAACGTAGTAAAATGATTTTTTAGAGTCGTTCACTTTTGCCAGCCTATATCTATATATATATATTATAAAATTAATAATCATAAATTAATAAATACCTTTTATTCTTTTTTATCTCATATGAATATTACTTATCACAGATCGAATCGATATAGTACATAAAATATATAAATCACGTTTTATTGATGTATCTCGCGATATTTTTTGTGACTCAGTGTTTGTTTAACAAATGTACAACATTACTCAAATAGTATTTATTATAAATATATATTCTGATAAATTGTATTCAATTTATCCTTTATATCTTCTATAATGTCAAACCATAAGTTTGAAGCGTTCATAATACAAAGTAGATATGTAAAATAATTATTTTACTTTATCGGTTTTGGTGGCCTAGCAGTTTAGCGCACCGCTTACTTCCGATGATCGATGATTCTAAACTACTATACTACTAAAATAAACTAAACTATTTATAATATTCATGAGTATGAATGTTCGGATGTTTTCTATGTACCTTTATTAAATATGTATTTACAAATGAATGTATCTTTATATTTACATTACTTGTCTAGTACCCATAATTCAAGATTTATTTAGCTTGGGACTAGATGGCGCTGTGCGAGTTGACCTGAGATATAATAATGATGATAATGATGATAATTGTTAGGAAATTACTTTAGTCCATTGACATAATGTATATTGATAAACATTTTTATATATTAACTAATCATCATTATACTGTGATTACAAGCAAACATATGTATGTGTTTGTATATTACAACAGAATACTATATATAATTAGGTACTGGCATTTAATGAATTAAAGAGAGCTGTATTTGAGTTTCCGAAATTCTAAATTCTGTAGTAAATCATTGTTACATCTCGTTATTAATATTTTTAATATATTTTATTTTAGATTATATTTACTATTTTGCCGTGGATGTGCGAAACAAGAATGATATGGACACCAAGACAGGGTAGACTCAGTTCAGCTATTTCCGTACCTAGTTATTACTACACAAATATTGATGGTAAGAAAGTAAAACGTATGTTTTTTTTATAAAATTGGAATGGCAAACATGCTTATAACTCTTCTGATGTTAAGTGGTGTCACCTATACCAGGTGTATAGACGATGGAACAGCATCATGGACAAGCGGTCAATATTCTATGATTATGCTGACATCCTAGAACTGAAACATATTACTAATATTATAAATGAGCTGGTGGATGGATAGATGGATGTTTGTTACTCTTTCCCCCAAATCTACTGAACAGATGTTAATGAAACTTGCAGTAAAATAGCTTATACAATTTAAAAATACATTATGAAAATGTACTAAAATATAATGATAAATGTCAAGTAGGTAAGTGTGAAGCAGATGAAGTTGCGCGGGTCAGTTACACAGTTAAATAATTATACGACAAAGACTACTTCGCTAAAAACCTACGGAACCTCAATATTATCGTCTTATATTAGAATTATTATCATATTTTTTCAAGGATATCCTGGTACATATTCCTTCGGCTATGATACATATGATGCTGCGACGGGCAACATGCAGTTCCGTACAGAAGAAAGGTACCCCAATGGTACAGTGGTCGGCAGTTACGGATACGTGGATCCCCGAGGAAGAACCCAACGTTACACTTACATAGCTGATGAGAAAGGATACAGGTTCGTATTGGACATTTATGTAAACAATTATGCCACTAACTTAGATTCGTTTATGTAAGTGAATGATGAACAAATTGACTGATAACGTGCTGCCAGCAACCCTTGCAGTACATAAGCAGTCTCATGATTATCATACGAGTATACCTCATGTTCGTAGTGGTCGTGGCATCCCTTATGCGTTCGCATTCTTAAGGAGTACAGTGTTATGCTTGTATCTTGTAATTTTAATGACGTATACAGTTCTATTATATTAATATATTAGAAATTCAGATGTTATTTTATATTCTATTTTTGCGATAAATTAGGACAAAATTAGAAAATAAAGCAACCAAGAATAACGTAGTTTATTAATGGTATGACAAACTGAAACTTAATTGAATGTGAAATACAATGGTAGAATTCCAGAATATTCTAGACTTTCATAGGACTCGATTTTAAATAGGACTTGTTATAAAAAATGCTATATACTTATCATAATGATGACAAATGTTATTTTATGGTATCATATTAAAAATATAAATATATTATATTTCAGATTAATAAGCAATTCACCCAAGTCAACCACAAGACCACCTGCTAAGATTAATGACATTCCTACGGAACCTTCTATAACCTGGACGAGGCCTAAGAAAAATAAAAATAAAATGGGGGGCAGTTATTTAGTTAAATTACCTATAAAAACAAAATGACTGTAACTTGCATCACTCGATAAAAAAATATTTATTATATTAATAATAAATTAATTGTTATTATTTTATTCCGTATATTAATATGTATTTAAAATACTATTTCAATTATATATGCCGATTTATAGACCCTACAATGACGAGATTAATTGGTTTACATTATTAAAGCCAATATCTAATTCACTATTTAACTCTATTACGACTTCTTCAAGCTGTAGCTTCACTGAAGCAAATATAATTGAAAAAATATGAAAGCTGTGTAACATGGTTAGCGTTTTTACAGAAAAAAAACAAGAAATAAAGATAAACTAAAAGTAGAATCTTATCAAAGCAGATAATCGAAATCATTAAATTCTAAAAAATACAAATAAAAAAAACTAGAAAAAAAAATCACAGATGTTATATATATGTCAATAAAGAAATGGTATAAAAAATCGTCATAATGAGTTTTTCTTACCATTTCTATTGAAAGTACTATCCCGCTTCAAACTTGACACAAGTGACAATTTGCATTTTTATGGCAAATTTAAATACAACCAACATGGTTTTAATATTATTCAAACTACATAATGGTGTATACATTTTTTTAACAATTGTGTTAATGTTGTTAGGAATGATAAAATGTACGTAAAATTATATTTAAAAATAACACAAATATAAAGACAATCAACTCGTGATTACCGTCTTTTATGCAGCACAAAACTAGGGAATAAACAACTATTTAAACTGTTTTTTACGGATGATATCATGATATCTTATTATTATTTATCTTAATTCTTGACAGGCTTTCCTGTTGAAAAATACGACATACAAAATTCTGATTTTAAAAATGAAAAACGATATCCTAATGGAACTGTAGTGGGAAATTATTCGTATGCTGACAGCGAAGGAAATCCTATACATGTTAAATACTATGCTGATGATTCTAGTTATGGGTATGATGATATTTTTACAAATAATTTGAAGTAATGTATCGCTATTGATATGTAGCCTAATCATAATAGTTTCTGAGTGTCTGGACTCTTTAGGGATTTTATTATATCTTGTAAAATGTAATATAACTTAATTTCAAATTCCTAATTTTGTATAACGTGAATCATTATAATCATAGGAAAAAGGTGTACTGTCCTGTTAGTGTTTATAATAGTTAATTAAATAATAAACAAATATTAAACATACCTTAATACATATCCTATTTATATTTAATAAATAACATATAACCATTACCCTTTATTATTTCTAAATACTCCTGTATTGTTTCTTTTATTATTCATTTAATTATCTGTTTTAGCATTGAGTTGAAAAGTATTAAAGCAATAGAATCTAATGAAGATGCAACCACACAAACCACTACAGAGAAGCAATTTGAATATTTCGTACAAAATACTGGTTTGCCGGCAGATAAATCAAAAGTGCAGTTACCATTCTATAATACAAAATATAAAACTGAAGGTCCATCAGACTCTCTCAATAAAGAAATTAAAGCGAATCGTTACAAGGAACATAGTACTAGCCCTGACTATGAAATATTTGTCCAAAATGAATTAAAAGCACCCGAAAAATGCGGTAAAGATAAAGTCAGAATTTATTTTGATACAAATAAAAGAAAAATACGTGAAGCAGCAAACAATGAAGAAATTGCTAAGTATTGTGAACTTTTTTGATACCTAATTATATATTATTATGAGCCAAATGAATATTAAAAATTGTATTTTTTTTATTTAAAAGGATAACATATATTTTTAATTTTCTATCTATAATGAGACTCGCAAAGTCAGAGATTGTATAATACATCCGTAGCCGTTCCGGTAAAACTATAGAAAACTGTATACTGAAATATTAATCCTTGTAGGAAACACTAAGTTATTCATTAACCTAGAATAATTCTCAGCTACATTATAATTGGTTATTAAATAAATTCCAAGTAGAATTAAATGACTTAAATATGGTAGTAAGAATTACTTTAGAACGTGGATAACAGGTGGTGAAGAGTGAAAAGATAAGAGTAAAATTAGGTTAATTTAATTGTTGTTTAAAAATCTATATAGAGTTTATAATAGAAAAGTTGATATAACTCGTTTATTAGCCTAGAACATGAGCTGCAGATTAAAAAATAAAATAAAAGAAGGTAAATTAAAGAAAAATGTTTGCACCTATTAATTTGCTGCTTGAATAAATATTACGTAACCTAATATGTATGCTATTGTACGATAGTACTGTTAATTCGATCGAGATACATATGCATGTATGTGATGAGGTAACTATATTCGTATCGTTGTGAATATACTCACACAACACTTTATGTACTTACTTTATTTACTTAGATTAGATTAGTCTTATTTTAGTTTATATGTATAGTACTTTGTACAAATAATTATATATATAATTTTATGAGCATTTTAAATATGTAACACTATAAAACTTATCTTACATGGTATAAAACAAAATTGCTCCCGCTACCTATACGCTTAGCTATTTTATACTACGCACCTGATTTTAATGCAGTTTCTAGCATTAGATCGAGTGATTCAAGAACAAGGTTTGTACCTAATAATAAATAAATAGCGTATTATAGTCAATTACAAATTTAACCACTTTAAAATATTGATATTTAACATAAAAAAGCCCTCATAATAAGTGATAATTTTATTTATAACAAGGCCCAGGGAGGTGTCTATATATTGTCAATTATCAGATTGTATGTTCTATTTGCTATTCCACAAGTTAACGCTTGGTAATTGTCTTCACGTGTCAACTGCTCTGCTTTATATTGTACGGAAGGGTTATAAAGATAGCGAAAGTGTATCTCTTTTATAGTCACAATGTGAGCACGCTGTATATCCGGAATTGGGTAAGATGAAATAGTTGTAATAGGAATGCTAATAGATGTAACTCGAAATACACTGAATGAGGTAAAAATAGTATTGCGTAAATAGAAGTAGATGATAGATCTATAAAGAAATTTAAATTAATTAATAATAACAACCAACCAATAAAATTAAATAAGATTTGTGACGATAACTGAGTTTTTTATAATCGAGTAGTACTTCACAATAACACTATTAGTTTACTTTAGTTATTTCAAGTAATATTTTTTATTAATTTGATCTACTATGACGAAATAGCATTAGTAGTATCACAGATTATTAATCCTCTCTTTGAATAGAAAACATAGGTGGATTACTTTACTATTATAATATTATGAAGCAGGTTCAAAGTATCATTTAGCATTGACATTAAAAAATATTGATGCTGCCCACATAGAATCAGCTTGTATTGATGTACATGTATCGATAATTTTTATGAAATCTGTTAAGTATTTATTTTGTTTCTCTATCGATCAAAAATAACACAAAATAATTTCTTTATAATATTATATGGATATATAATATTCAACTATACTAACAGAGGGATGGCCAATTTATAAGATGGTCTATACTAAAAAAACAATGCACATACTTTGAATAATACGACAAAAGCTATGCCTGTAATCATTTTTGGTATGTTTACTCAATCCAGGTCAATAAGTTGTCTACAATTATAAATCTGAATTTATTTTGGTCAATAAACCGTCTATAATAACAAATCTGTATTTGTTTATTTCCACCATTATCACTACACCAATGCAGTACGTATTTCGCCTATAAATGAGGGATTATCCGGCAATAAATTCCTGCTTCGATTCTTCACTACGAATAACGATTCGTAGAAACTAATTAACACGGTTTCACTACATAGGATTTATTGGTTACTGAAGAATGTTATATAGGCCGTCAACGGACAAATGTATTGTTAGTCTAATCGACTAATGACGCCAATGGTGGTAACCTACTATGTCATGTAGACCTCCACGCGGTTCTTACTGGAAACCATGTTGCCATGACGTTCTAACAGATCTGACCTCAGGCTTATCTTACCATGCCCTACTGGCACCCCGCCAGCGTAAACAGTTAACGGAGGCTGTTGTTGGCATTATAATTTTCATTGAATTCAATCCATTATATCTCTTAAAGAAAGCTCAATAGTAAGCCGTCAGTCATTTGCTTAGTTGAATAAAATCTTGTCTGTAAAATAATATAGCTTATTAAACAATCTAATTGTGATTAGTATTTAGTTCTACAACTTATAATAGGTATACTATAAGATTTTTATTGTAGATTAAAGTTTAAATACTGTTATGTAAACTAAGGAAAACATAAGAAAGATCATGGATTGTTGTTTTATTATTTTACCTTTTCAAACATAAAATAATAAATTATTTATAAATTGATACAAAAAATATTTATTTACAATGATTTCATACTTCATAGTCACTAAATACATAAGTCTACTAAGTATACTTACTAAAAATACTACATTTGTTTATTATTATTACATAAACTAAATCATATTTGTATTCTACTAAACACCAACCCAGCTTATTGCAACTTTTAAGTTTTAGGTAAATGTAATAAACTGACTAATATTTTTATATTAGTTTATAAAAATTATATTCGTAACTGTATTTTAGATATTAAGATATTATACAGTAATAAAAATAACCAAGATTGTTCATGATACTCTCTCTCCCACACTGAAAAATTATCTTGATAGCTTGGAAGCGTCAGGCTACCAAAAATGTTTATAGTTTCCTCAATAAAAAAATATTAATTAACAAGAGAAAATAAACTTAGCTTAAATCACGAAATAATATTAGATAATTTTTAGTATTATAAGTTTTCAATTTTATAAAAGGATTTTAAACCTTTATAATTAGTTACTCAAGCCTTTTACGAAACAGGTCTCTATTAACGTTACGAATTTGCGTTTAGGAAATGATAGAGTAATAACTGATTGTAACAACAATTCGCTTTATCTATTACGTTAGTGTTATACAAGATTTGAGCTACTCCCTCGTTATTTGTTCTAGGTGGTTATTGTAAGCAAGTTTAGTTCCATAACAAAATAGGGTAATCAACAGTTGTGACATATTACATACTCCCCGAAATACGTTACATAATATTGTTGAACAAGTTGTCATGATTGACAAGTGTAACAATTGTAAACTAAATAACAACAATACCATTGTTATTCGTATAATGAGATTTTGGGATATGATATATTTTTTTTATTATATATTTTGGAAACTAGTTTCAGCTTTCGATTTCGTTCACGTGACCAGGATAGATCGAGAAGAGAAGTATCGTATGTTCTTTTCAATTATTGCACATCTGCGTAATTGCATGATAATTGCTTTAGCTGTGAAAGTGCAACAAACAAACGTATAAACAAACTCACTTTCGCATTTGTAAGATGGTAAACAAGTCACGTGGTAGTAACGAGTAATCGTTTTTTTATATATCAGAAACGATTACTCCTTACTACCCTATGACAAACCAGATTAGGCATGTGTGAACTGTACGATAATATAATTCATAAAGAATAACAATAACTTCTATTCAAAAGGAGTAGAGGCACTGTTAACTGTTGCTGTTAAATTTTGCTGGATCCACCATCAACCAGATTTGAAGTCCTTTAGGTTGATTGGTAATTTCTGTTTGAAAGCCACGACGCTAAATAAGGTAAAATGTATATATATAGTTTATAGCGGTTATGGCGCCGTCTTTGTAGTATTTATCTAAGCTTTGATGATCTCGTTGGTTAGCGGCTAAGCATACCTTATCAGACTTACTTTCGGTGGTCTCGACTTCGATTCGTGAACAACATTTACTAATATTCATAAGTATGATATATATGATATGATATAACCCAATACAAACAGTATTGGGTTAAATGTTGAGTTTGTAAATAATCCGTTTAAAAGAAAGTATTTAAATATTTATATTCACCAGTTTGTTTGCCATTCTGGTCATAAAAAAATACACAAAATATATCAAAATTTAAATGTTCAAAATACATAATAAATTATGCAATTTGCTTAAATTATGTATATACTTATATCTACAGTAATATTTTAAAGAGGAAAAATCTATAATTTTGTATTTAATGTACATAGAAATACTAAATAGTTTTCATAATTATAATATAGACTATAATTATAACTAGAAAAATTAGGGATGCATACTAAAATTTCAATAACATACATTATTTATCGTAATGTAACTTACGTTAAAAAATGTCCACCGTGGTAGTCCGGTACAGGCTGTTAGTAAATGAAGTAAGAATTCAAATATAAAAAGAAAAAAATATTTTTATATTTGAATACTTTTTATAAAATTATATAATTTTATTGAAAAGGTATTAAGTACACATACTTACTTAATACCAAATTCAAATTATCTCATATAATATCAAATATTATTAAAACAGTTACATATATAATTTTATCCGACGCACTACTTCGAATATGATAATTATGAATTGTTTTAAAATCAGATGCGATTATGTATTAACATAAATTATAACTAAGGCTATTCGCATACTGATCAAATTAAAGTGTGTTTATCTTATATATAAAATTTTCGAGTCACCACGTTAGTTACCATACTCGTCCGAAACGACTTGACAGATTTTTTATGAAATTTTACGAGTATATTCAGTAAGTTTGAGAATCGGCTACTATCTATTCCTACTATCTATTTTTCATATCCCTAAGTGATAAGGGTTGTATAACATGTTTATTTTTTATATATTTGGACAATATTTTTTTAATTTTTTATAACGTAGCATTAAAAAATACATGC